AAAGCTTCTTTAGCAGACATGGAATATCTAAAATATTATACTCTGATAATGGCCCCTGTTACAAACTTTACATTCATTGCTTAGTACTGGTCGGTTCCAGGAACAGATTCGAGAGTGTTTCAATAAGCTTATAGCTTCCAACAAAATCGAACTAAAATAAATTTGTATAAACCAAGTGTTTAAAATTGATAACTTCAGGATGTCATCCTTTCACTGATTTAATATATGGATATGCATAGCTTTAATTTTCTACCTTTCATTTTTATTAAAGGTTATTTTTATTAACAATTCAAATACAAATAAATAGAAAATAATAATAAGTTTCACATAATGATTAGAAGATTCCTGTAGCAGAATACCTGTAGGTATGGTATGTATTAACTGAACAAACTAGAAAAATCCATACTGTTTACATACAACAAAAATAGTATGTACTACCCAAGATACTCGTAGACAGGAAAGAACAAACAATTTTGTAAAAATGAGTTTCTTCGCCTTAAAATAAAGAAAACTTTAATTGAAACCCAAAAGAACACCATCAAAAGCGAAATTATGACATGTTGCAGGCTCATTTTTGTTAAGCCGTGGAAAGTTATGTTAAAAAGTATTCTCCAAATGTAAGATCCATGTGATAGCAGTAATTACATTGCAGAAAATGGGATAGCTTTTAATATCCGGATACTGGTACACTTTGTTAAAGCAACCATTCTGTGCAATAGATAAACGTAATATGAATAAAATCAATAGGATAATCGTTTCCAACAGTTCCGTTTCCAATCCAAATACTCATTTGCAGGCGAACGTAATTTACAAATATAAACATAGCCTCTCTCATCAATGTAGATCACAACGATATTTGAAATCCGGCTATTAATATTGCCAATAAAGCTTAGAGACTGAGCCTGAAATTTCATGAATATAATATCACGATGCACATCCTTTTTACATAAAGTTATTAAACACAAATATAATAGTGGGTTCGATCCCCGGGAGATGCTTTGGTAGTTTAGCGCGGAGGAAGGTAGTCTAGTACTGGTGTAACTCTCCAGGAACGATGGTTAGGAAACTACCCGCCTATATGACTGAAATACTGTTGGAAAAAGGCGTAAAATGAAACAAACAAACAAACAAAATAACATATTTGTTTTCTTGATTTTTACGAATCAAAATATTAACACAACATGGCGTTAACTGCTTATAATAACAGCTCCTTCCATGGGAGAAAATAAAGCATTCCATAAGAATTGCGTTGCCAAAAATATACAAAATATATAAATAATACAAAAATGTTAGCAAAGATATTTTGAAAAAAAAAATGAAAACAATCCAAGAAACCTTTGTTATGACGTTTCCACAACAGCTGCGAAGCCATTATACACTTATTTAGCGAGCGATAAAGATATATCATAGCAGATGACTCGTTAATGAAAACAAATCTTACACGCACCCCTGTCCTACCTTTGAAAGACAATAAGGTTTTTTTTTTGTAAAAAGTGTAAACGTATTTGATGACTGTAAAACATCGCTGCCAATTTCCATATACGATGTTCAAAATACGATATGCACGGAAAGACAGACAAAGACAGGGGTTTACGAGTAAACTGTATCTTTTGCCTTTGATGTTTAGTGACAATAAACTTTTGATATATAGAAAACATACAAATAAGTTTTAGGGTTTTAAGTACCAATGATTACAAAAAAGGAAACTTATTACTCACAAGTCACGATTAAATTTAGTTACTAATGACCATAAAAACATGTGGCCAATATTTATTTCGACATTTCCTTAATAACGTTTTGATGTCAATTTATATACATATTTGATAATAGCTTGCTAACAGTGCTGTTGTATAACTTGATAATAATTGCTGATCCTAAATGTTCACAAGTCCTTATTCATTATGACTGTAACATTAATTTTGGCCCTGTTGAAAACTGACCCCAAGATTTATTCAACGGATTTTGATCAATTTTCAATGTTGAAAACTGATCAACCAACTATAGAGAGCACATTCATTAAAACTGATAAGTGATCAAAATAATATTGTCAAACATGTCTTCATATGGTCATACACATGAAACAGTAATAAAATATTTATTCATTTAATTCAAGTGGACCAGGAACTTATAGCAATTGGCAAATCTATCGGCAATAACTGATGATGGACAGCTATATGGTACTTATTTTGTGAACTGTAATATTATATTTCATGCAGAGGAATGTACATTTATGTTTTTTTCCCTCTATAATGGATAATCGCCTGCTAGTATTAAAGAGACTGCCTTTCAATGTTATTATGTAAAAGGTATCATACTAGTTAAAACCCATCACCTCTTAGAATGAATATAAACTTAGGGATTTAGAACAGCCGCTTTATCTTTCAATATCTCATAAATATGGACCGTGCATTCGTATTACAGTACATTTTTCGTACTTCTTACATACTGATCAGGGGAAGTAATTGCTGCATCGTTACGGTTACTTCCCCTTATCAAGACAGAACAATTAAGAGTAGGTGTAGCATATGTAAAACATTTATTGGTATGAGATAAGAAACCGTTGACTTCATACATGTATTTACGTTGAAATAAATATGTTGAGTAGGATTAGAAAACAAGTCATAAATTAAAGCGCACAATTTTTATTACCTAAAGCATACCATAAGTTCAATTTTGCGCAATGTAAAACTATGGCAAGGACGAAAATAGATCGATTTATTTATACCCACCATATGGAGCATATATCCGTTCTAAACAAAGTTAAGAGGATATTTCTTAAATCTATGGCTAGTTATATGAAAGAATATTCTAATCAGACTATTGAATTTCAACACTTGATAATACTAGTTCGTAAAATAACCATCATTATCAACTGCATAAAAACAAATAGTTTGAATAGATGCTTCCTCTGTGGAAGTCTCAATGGGCATGTCGGATTCCGGCCACATAGACCCATCTGTTGGAAATCTTTGTCTTAAACTTTCGTGAAACAGTTCCCTATCCAACATATAGATTAGCTACCTTTTGTTTTGCATTTCGCATGGGTCCAGCCTTGGCCATGTTATGCTTGAGAAATCATTTTATGACACCTGTGAGAGATTCTGTTTCTTCTAAGCGTTCTCTATTACAAACATACGTTTAACTTAAATTCAACTAGCCGTAAAAAATCTAATTTTATTAAAATTTAACGACTTTTTGATTAAACTTAAATGTTGAATTATTGGCAGGGTAAATTTTGAAAATTGACAGAGGTTGATTTTTCAACATTAAAAAATGACACATGGGGTAAATTTTCAACGGGGTCAATATATAAGGTTACAGCTGCATTTGGTGCAACGTAAACGCTTTATTTTCTTTTTAAATTATGTAGAATTGACATTTTTCAGAATTTCCCGAAAAATGTTCTAGAGAGTATTTGTACTTACAGCACTTTCTTCGTTCGAAAATATCTTCTGAAAGTATCTTTAGATGATTATCTTAGGCATAAACATTTTTGATTCAATTTTTGTCAGAGATTAGTACAAGAAACATTTTGAATAGTCATTCGTTGTTGATCTATTTGAGGAACTATCTTTTTCAGGAATAATCTACGAAAAGTTCTTTTATTACTATTGTTGAAAATCAGTGATCTTCAGTGTTTTAGACATTAAATCATTCACCAGAAGAATCAGACAGGATTATTTGTTTATGAAAAGTGGCATTTTATCATTTTAACATTATTTATTACGTCGCCATATGACCTATACTGTATCTGTGTGACGTAAAACCCAATTAAACTAAAACAAACGGTGCGTGAACGTAAGAGGGCGATTAAATGGGTTCGAATGTGAATACTTTTTCATTTTACCAGATACTTATAATTTCTATTTGTCATGGCATAATTATGATTTATGTTTAAAAAATGTTTTTTACTTGTTGGTCTACACGTATACAATGTTTTACATAGTCGAAAAAAAGATAATAATAATTGATAATAAAGGTGGTCAAGATGAAGTATAAGAAAATATCCTAACATATAAAAAGACTGTAGGCCGCCCTATTCTTTTTATCAAATGAACGTTACTAAAACATTCTGAATGATATTTGTATAGAATTTAAAACAATGATAATAAGTCGCACAAGTCGTTATAGATAATTTTGCGTTGTAGTACACAAAAATATAAAAAAAACTATGCCAAAATGTAAAGTTTGGTTTACTTTAATCTGTACAATCACAATTTATGTTTATATGGGGCTTATGTCAACAACTTCGTAGGTGAGACTACTCAATGAAACTTTAGTATGGCAATAAAAAACAATAAAAAGCTTTAAACCATGTATGTGTTCTTTCAGTTGAATTTATAGACAATTCCTAATTAATTATATTTTATCTAACGCGTTCGTTTCGTTTGCTGTAATCGTTAACGTTAACTTTCTTTGGAAAAAAATAAAATAAAATAAAATAAATAAATAAATAAGTAAATAAATAAATAAATAATAATAATAATAATGATAATAATAAAAAAATATCACAAAACCGGATCTATTGAATTATGATATTTACGTTTTACATCATTTTAATCTGTGTGTCCGAGGCCTAAAATAAACAACAACGGAATTCATTAAGAACGCCCACAACGACACAATTTACAATATTATAGTCTCGGTTTGATTGTGCATGGTCATGGACATTGACGGTACTGGAAAATGCAGGTTACCGTCCACGTACACTAGGACCGACTTAAGCAGAATTCAACATTTTCACACGAAAATGCTGAAATTGTGAATTTAGAACATCCGCAGATGTGTTTATTCGGCGGCCATCATGGAGCCTTCAATCACATAAATGCTATTTCATGAAAAGGGGCGTATGGTCCCCACATAAAATACAGGGTGTGCCCTTAACAAGTGGCATCATATCCTTAGGGTGATTATACATTATTCAAGTATGAAAACTGGAACTACATAAGTTTTAAAAGGTTAAATAGAAGAAACTAAAAATACTACAAACATGTACTTACCCCTTTACATAACCCCCTTTCTTATCTGAATGCAAGTTTTGAGGCTGAAATAGTTGGAACCATTTAACCCAGAAGAGAAAACAAATGAATAAACTCAATTTCACCTGCTGAGTAACCGGTAACGTTATTAGAGGTTCTCTTTGACTTCTTATAAAGGTATTGTTAAAACCAGCAACACCGCTGCAAAAGAGAAAGTAAATCTATTACTGATAAGAATAAAATCAGTCGATATATGAGTACTTGACATGTTTTAAAGATAAACGTCATATCCGGTTTAATGTACAAACACGTTTGTGGATCGGCTCGGGTAATCCGCGTACCTCGGTTATAAATCATAATAACCTCGAACTTTTTTACATCCGGAGAGAAATAAAGTCTGTTTCGGTACAATTATGATCACTCAATTTAATAATAAAGAAATCAATATTAACCACTTTTGATTTCTACAACCATCATAATCAGTTATAAAATTATTTATTATTTATATAATTTAGGTGGCCTTTTACTGAAACAAAGAAGAAATAGAATCCCTAAAGAAAGCCCAACACGGCAAAATGTTGCAGGCTCGGTTTGATTGAGCCTGTTCATGGACGGTACTGGAAAGTGCAAGGACCGTCCACGCCTCCTAACACTGGCTTAAGCACAATTCAACATTTAAACACAAAAACGGGGAAAATTTGAATAAAAAACATCCGCAAGTGCACGTTCATCTTAGTCAGAAGATCCCAGCATTAAATTATTATTTGTTTACATGTTTAGTTTATTTGCGTAGATTAGACCGAAATACCGTTTCCGTTCTGTGTATTCTTACTATTATGTTCAGGTCTTCATCCGAAATTTGACGGGAAAGAACCGAGAAGGTGCAAATTAGATAGTTTATAGATTTGACGTATAATTTGGCTTCTATCAGGTAGAAACAACCTTATTAGAAAATATGAACAAAGATTCAAAAGACGTTGTAGTCACAAACTTAAAACAGTGTTTTGTAAAATTAGAGGCAGGAATGCTAACCTTGAATTAGATAACTTAATAATTAGATAACTTAATAATACTTCTAACTTGTGTTTTAAACCGTAAATTTGACATCTTGGGTATTTAAAAAAAAACTTTTGAATGTTACATGGCTTTCCGTAGTTCGTTCATAACCGACAAAATACTCTAAGACAAGCTAAGCTAGACTCTGGTAGTGTCGTTTTTGTGTGCGTGAAAAATGATGTTGGTAATAATTGTTATATCTATATTATGATAAGAGTATTTGATCACATACTTTGTTACAGTTTGTAAATGATTTTAATTCAATATCATGCTAGGAGAACAAAAATTGTCTACTTAACTTCTAGGTAGAAGTGCAATTTTATTAAATTAATTATGGCCTTTCTGTTTGTGAGGTTTATGTTTGCTGAAGTAATAATATTAACGGGAAACAAACAAAGATTATTCTTTGTTTTTAAGCATGATTAATGATTTCATGAGGCATTGGAATCAGACGTTCAACAGCTACGCGAACGCTTCGCAAACAAAATAAAAACATTGCGGTGTAACTTTTTAATATTTATATCAGTGTGATTGTATATGCTTACTGTATATATTTATGTTGTATGAATTAAAATAAATATTGTTTAAACTATTTTTTAAATATTTTAGTGCACTAAAATTAATACTCTTTAATCTAGAAATATTCCACAAATAGCCAAAAAGGTCAATATTTTTTGAAATTAAATTTAGAAATTCACGGAACGTAGGCTACAAGAAATTCTGAAAAGTGTTATTACCCACACTATATGTGATATACCGTGAGTGATATGGATTTTTTTCAACTATTAAAACCAAAAATATCACGCGTAGGCATAAACTTTTGCAGCAGTTTGACAGAGTATAAAAATAAACTTAGTTAATTATATTATTCTGAAGCAACAGTCATGTTTGAAATTTTAACACAGTGGGCGTTGGATTACACTCGTCAATAGATTTCTTTTATACATTTTCTATCGTTTTGCCCATCCTTTTAGAATATCATAATGATAAAAAGTACACTAAATTGAAATAACAGGATTCATTATCAACACAGTATACCAAACTACTATGAAATCGGCCGTCGCAATTATTCATTATTCGCTGTTTTGAACAGGAACATTTAAAAAAAGTTTCAGTCTTTAACATTAAATGCTGAAATGGTGTAAATACATATCTGCGGATGTTAAGCAGAAGGTATATAGCGACCAAAGCGGCCTTGAGCTAGAAAACTGCACAAAAGAGGTCCGGGTTGCAAACCTTGATACAAATAAAGAAATATTTCAATATATATTGTCCTTTTTTCTCTGTACATGCTACGGACACTGCCGAAGATTTGTCGATGTTTTGTTTGTTCTGTTCATTAGCCATATAATCATTATGCAATATTGACATGTTAATAAAACCGGAAAATATTACATTTATTTTAAGCTTTATTATTTCATGTTATTCTAACAAACGTAAGATCAGACTATTTCCTCTTATAGAAAATGAGTAATTCTTAAGTATGTCTTGTATCTCTATTTTATATACAGCATCTGTATTTGCAAAAAGGAAATTTTGTAATATTTGGATTTATAATAAAAAATCTGTATTTTAGTAAAACTACGAACTTCATACAATAATAGTCATGTATATAACGAGTGTACGGATCACGGTATATTAGTCATATACGTTTTTCATGATATACGGTCCAAACATCTCCGTATTTTAAATTTCACGTATTCTATTGTAATATACGAAATCCCGTACACTTCCGTATATCCATATAGTTTCCACAGTGACGTCATAATTGCATAAGATGTCGTTAATAGCGATATTTTGACACAAGCCGATCTTTTGACTGCCAAACAAAATAAGAAACACACTGTGATAGCGTTACTTTTATGCAAAGGTGTGGGGAAAATTATGCATGTGTACAGAAAAATTTGAGTCGGTGAACCCCTATTATTTTAGTCATTCAGACTATACATTTAGAGTATACATTTGAAACGACGTTAACAGAAAAAATCAAACATTTATTTCAATATTTTTTAAAATAAGCAGCTTTAAAGCCGAAAATTGTACCTAAACTGAATGTCAAATTTTATACCAAATTGCCAATTTTCTTTCCATTTTTCAAACATTTTTCGACGTAAATCGATAAGTTTTATAGCAGCATATAGGAAAAAATAATTCCCGTCGAATACCGTATAATCAAAAATATTTTGTCTTCCGATAACGATGTAATTTCTGTAACAGTTGCCAAAGATATGCAACGGTGTCATGTTCCAAAACAGGCTTTGTTAGTCAACTTTGACGTCATGTGTACAGCAAATGGCTGAAACATTTGGAATGACATCAACGGAATATAATCTTAAATATGGTCAACTTTTTTTACATGTCAATTTTCCAGACGCAACTCGAAAGTGCTCAAAGTGTCGCATTATACTTTAATATAATGTTATGTGTTTAGACGAAATGATTTAAAGCTAGGTGCAGAAAAGATAAAAAAATAATTGTAAGACTATTTATTGCAAACCTTATGATGAATGATCGTCAGTTCCAAAAATCTATGAGTTTTGTATTTGTTATCCTTACAAAATGAGCCTTCAGATGAATGTTAAGTGAACAGCAATGGATTTTGGAAGTGTATTGATATTAACCAGTCTTTATCGTGATGAATACCAGTGATGGTTGTTTCACACGATGGTTCCTTGCCCTACCAATGTAAAGTCAATAGAAATCTGATTTTATTCCATTTTTTGTGTGAGTATATAAGTTCTATAATCATATCAATATACCCTTAAAAGATGTAATCTCAAATAATGAGGTTTAGCGCAAATAATAGGTGGGCTGGTTGATTTGATAATATTCCTAAAGTTTTTTAAAAAAAACATGATGTGACATAATGTACTAATTCTCAAATGTGATATTTTAATTAAAAAAGAGAAGGTGAAAATCACAAACCCGGTTCTAATGAAACTATGAAAAAATACTGTTTACATCATGCAACTGTAATGAGGGATTTTACCTTTCCAGGTGCAAGTTCCAAAGCTTCATTTGTTAAAATGAAGGTTATGTTATGATTATCATCGTCAAGAAAATTTTAGACTTATGAGAGTCTAAAAATGACCCCAGGTCGATTAAAAGGTAACGTTGACCAACACTGAAAAGCCTTTGATTCTTTCTCAATCCATTGAGAAGTTGCAGCACATTTAAATCAATTTTTAAGGAAAAAATCAACGCAAAATAGTGATTTTTGGTAATTTTGAGATGTCTCCCCGTTGACATGGTAACAGGAAATTTAAGAATGAGCATGTTGTTACAAAGGTAATGGTCCTGTCAACATTTGTGCCAAGTTTGATTAGTATTGAAGCAGTTTTTTTATGGTTTTTATAGCAATTTGAACTTGTAACGGGAGATTTTTCAATGAAACAGCCATTTTTCACAAAATGCTCATGCAGTAGTGGGTAAATGAAAAAAAAAATAAAATTAAGAATCCTTTCAAACAACATTTTTTCTTCATAATTATATGTCAGGCCATGCTTTTACATGGAAAAACGCGATTTTGGGTAATTTCAGGTATTTTCATCATTTTTTGTTAATGAAAAAAAAATTCTAATAAAACAACAATTTTTGCTTCATAATTATACGTGAGGACATGTTTTAGCATGGGAGAACGCGATTTTGGGTAATTTCAGGTATTTTCATCGTTTTCTGTTAACCCATTACGCAATATACACGCTTTTTAACGCCTTTTTTGCCCAACCTGTTTTTGTTGTCTCAAATAGTGAAAAATGCCTTATTTAGGCCCCTTACACTTGTTTTTGTTTGAGTAATGTTGTTTAAAAAAATGATCACTTTTTCGTCGCCACCCCCTATGCAAAAGATACATCAGGGGGTAGCCAGAAGGGGGATGTGCCCCTTTCTGTTTGGTGGGGGGATGAAGAGGTTCGGCAGTCCCTCTCATCGCCAAGAACATTTTGGACTTGTGAGATGATAAAAAATGACCCCAGGTCGATCATAAGGCAACGTGTAACCAACGCTGAAAAGCTTTGAGTCTATCTCAATCCATTGAGAAATTGCATCACTTTGAAATAAATTTTGATGGAAAAAGTCATCGCGCAAAAAATGTGATCTTTTTTGGCAATTTTGAAATTTCCCATCGTTGCAATGGTTACAGGAAATTTAAGACTGAGCATGTTGATAAATTTTGAGCGGTTTTTATAGTTTTATAGCAATTTTAACTTGTAACGGGAGACTTTTCAATAAAAACAGCCATTTTTCGCAAAATGCTCATGCAGTAATGGGTTAAGAAATACATAAAATTAATCGCGAGTTTTATCAAAAAGCTTATAACAATCTAGTACAAGTTTGAATTTTGAACAATAGTTTTTAATACAATTGTACTTTTGTCCTGCTAGATGGATGTTGAAGTATCCTTTGTACATTTCCTAAAGGGGGTTTGATTTCCGAATATAGCTATACATGTTGCTTTTTTCAATTTTTGGACGGTTTAAATTATTGATACTATAATTTTATTGTATGTTCTTTTGTTTCATAATTGGCTTAAAATAACTCCACGTGAGGTTAAGACCTAAAAATATAATTCGGAAAGGGTAACAATTAACGGTGCTAAAATTAAATTGAATATCGCTTTTGTGCAATTCTTAGCTAGATTTTAGTAAAGAACGTTGTAACGTTTTTAATTATTGTGTCCTTACGCACAATTAAAACGATTTTTTTCTAGAAAAAAAAAACATCAATAGGTATCAATGTTGAAATATAACGTAAACCAAAAAGTATGATACACACTGTATGATGATTAATATTTTAAAGACAACGTCATTTTCTCACCTTATACAAATTAAACCGAATTCTGAGAATGGAATTAACATTTAATAAAGGAAACGTAATTAGATCTTTTTTCTAGGTATTTTGCCGTCTATTTATGTTACCATCAAGATATATCACCAACCTCTAACCCGTGACAGGTAAGTGATTGAATTAAAATGCTGCCGCCAATGAACATACATGTCAAACCGGGCCTGCAACATTTTCAACTTTGTCGTCTGGTGCGTACTTTTAGGATCATTCTCTATTTCATTTGAATAAATTATAGATAAATTATAGGATATGTTTTTAAACTCTAACTTAACCATAATAAAAAAGACCGTCCTTTTAAATACAATATTCATTATACACATTACCATAATGGAAGATTTAGTTGAAAAGCCATTCTTAGCTATTGCATATTTTCATAAATGGTATAAAATTACCCCAAAGTCAAAACATAATGCTCTGTTACTAAAGTGAGGTCCGTGATTGGTTTTTAATGTATATTGTTTTTCGGGAAGTCCATCTGTTATCAGTTTGACTTCCCGTTAAATAAACAGGGAAGAACTGAATATTAGAAAAAGTTTCAATGGTAATTTTAAAATTACCAACTGAAATCTGTGAATATCATTGGACAATCTAAAAACGTTAAGGACAGTTCAAACCTATCTAAAAATGTAATATATAGTTCTACTTATTCTTAAATTAAATTTTACGGATAGCTCTAAAATAAAATGTAACGGGTAGTTTTGCTACTATAAAATAAAATATAAAGGATGGTTCTTAATTAATATGTACAGGAAAAGGATAGTTCTTTAATTTTTAGGTTAATTTGAAACTGATTAGACAATTTATAAAATCAAACGTAAAACAAGTAAAATCATCAATATCAAAATGCTATAATTAATTTCAATGTTTACAAAATGGGAATTTTCTTAGGAACATATAATATAAAATATAAATATATATACACTTATAATTTAAGTTTAAAAATAAATGAAGACAAACAAATAACCACAAAATAAAAAATACTGATTTTAATGTTTGACTTATGTCGTATGTGAAACATTGTATTTAATTAAATAATAATGACAGAAGTGGTTGTATTATTCTGCATGATTGCGATAATTAAACTATTTTCGTTTGTATCTGTACATTTTAGAATTCTTTATTTGATGAATTGGATTTGCTGATAGTTTTTGGGGGAGAATACCTTAAAAAAATCTGTTTGTTATATAGTTATTTTTTATTTAGTTGCATTTGTAAATGTATATCATTCAATAGAATGTAGTTTAATATTCTTATTTTGAGTTTGTCTCTACTAAGGTCCACTTCTTTGCCGACTGCAGAAGCGGACGTTCAAGGTAAAGTAAGTAGTTCTCATTTTGGATATCTGACAAATTGATTATAATATTCGTGTAGTTAAATTTCTGTATTTATTGAACTCGAATAAAATTATGTTATGCTCGAGAGAGGCGTGCATTTTTGATGTATTTCTAAATTTTAAATCATTTTGAAAATTAATATTTGACAAAATAACAACGCTTCATTGAAGCTTTTTTATATTTCGGAAAAATATGTGCTCCACAGGGGCGTCCGTGATCGACAGGTTAATGTCACTGACTTCAAACCATTTACTTCTCTCCGCTGTGGGTTCGATTCCCGTCACGTAGTTTGAAATCTTTCATGAGAAGAGGCTATCCTTCTAGCTTACCGAATGTCGGTGGTTCTACCTTGGTTCTCGTTCGTACCTTAAATAATGCAAGGAAAGATACATGAGGTCATTCTTCACCATTGAAGCTTGAATATAGCCATAAGGCCTTTATTGTATTGTTGCAACTTAACCCCCCCCCACACACACACGCAAGGACAAAAGGAGACGAAAAGTACACAGGCGTAGTGAGTTATACTATATATTTTTAAAGAGCAATTTATATATTGAGTATGGGAACAATAATATTACATTTAATCCCATGAAAAATGTAACAATGATGAAACTTCAATGTGTCTTTTGATCGGACATCGTAATTTATTGCATAAATTTTTATGGTATATATATATCATTGTATGGTATGCCATAATGAAATTACGTAACTGTTTACGAATATAATATTTCACTTTAAATTCACATCAATTAAAAGTTCAATGAGTGCCGTAAAAAGAAATTCAATTATTACTGGAAATTTTAAAATCTTTTAATGATCATCAGCAACATTACAAGCAAAAATGAAGAATGCAGTTTATTCAGGCTGCATTTCAGTAACACAAACAAAAAGATCGTTACAGTAAGTGAAATCATATAGTGAAGATTATGATCAGCAGAATATAAAAACCTGAATTTCTAAATAGTATTTCAAACAAGTAATAAACAAGTAAAATAAAACGATCACATGTTTCTCACCTTGAATAGTTAGACAACTTGACATATATGAACAGGCTCAATCAAACCGAGCCTGCAACATTTTACAATTTTGCCGTGTTGGGTTTCTTTAGGGATTCTGTTTTCCTCTATTCTATTTGATATATATGGACAGTAATAACCTTTAAAGTAAATGAATATAAATTTTATCTAGTTAAATGATTTATGAAAGAATGCATCCTTTTTTGTTGACCTCCTCCAGAGCACCCTCCAAAGCTTCTGTATGAGCACGCATAGTATCAATTAATTTTCGCTTCTCTTTCTCTATGTGCGCGATCTTATCTCTTTCTAATGACTCGTATTTTTCTTGCAGTCGCTTCTCTAACAATGCATCCATTTTTTCTAAAATAAATTTCATAAACAAAAGAAGATAAACAGATTTTAAAAATTTGCTTAAATATATTGTTATTAGATACTGTATATTTTCAAGGGGCGTCTTAAGTAAAGGGACAAACGGGTTGTGCTGATTTAGAAAATGTAACGCTGACTGTAAAAGGTATTAAAAGTACGCCAAAGTAATGTAACAACACTAAGAAAAACACATTGAAATGTTACAGGTCAGGTCCCCCATTTCATTCAACATATGTGTAATATTTCATTTGAATACCTACATTCTTTCCAAAACAGAACAACAAACGGGCAAGTCAAGGCACTCATGTACCAGAGGTGTTCAATTTACTATGAAACACAATCAAAACACGTTAAAAGAACCTATAGCTTACTTATTATGATAAACAAGGAAAAGCGGCGTTCAATAAACGCAACCCCACACCACCCGACAAGAACCAGCGACAAGTAATCCAGGAGAACTCCAAACAAAAACAAGGCAGAGCACGGATTATCCTAGGATAATAAGTTAAATGATACTTAAAAAGAATTAATAGTAACCGACAAGGAAATTAAGTAAAGTAATTGATTGATCAATAGGCCCACAAAGAAAAAGAGCACAGGGAATAGGGACTCGAGATTCGAGGAAGGGAGGGGCAAGATTTAAAAATAAAATAAAACGAGAGGTAAAAGGGAAGATATTTACCGTAGTTGAGAAAACAAGAGACACAACAAAAGTGTCATCAAAACAATATGAAACAACAAAGACATACGAGGGCTGTTCAATAAATACGCGGAAATATGCTGCCACATTTTTAATATTAATGGGAAATTGACGTTCTCTTATCATTTTGTAAATAAACATATAATAAACATGTACACAAAATTTCAATAAAATCGGATAAAAATTAATAGTACAATTTCAAGTATTTCAAAGGTAATCGCAGTGAAACCGGTCCAACGTCGAAACGACGTCACGCTCAACGCATGTATGAGAGACAACCAAAACACGCACCTAGTCCTTCTCAAAATACTCTCCGTGAAAGGAAACACACTATTTACAACGGTTGATCCATGACATGAAACTATTAAAGTAGGAGCCATTATTTATCTCTGAAATTGCACCTTGCTCCGCGTAGGACAACTCGTCCACATCATCAAAGTGTTCTCCCCGCAGGACGTTCTTCAGTGTCTGGAACAAAAAGAAATCGGATGGTGCTAGGTCAGGGCTGTAGGCCGGGTGCTTGAGGACTTCGAAGCCGAGTTACCTGATTGTGTACTGTGTTTCGGCCGCACGATGAGACGGTGCGTTGTCGTGATGAAATATCGTGTCGGCGATTTTCGTGGCCCGCCTCTTTCTCCTCGCCCTCATAAAATCACGTCTCAGAATCTGAAAGCATAAAGAAATACAATCATAAGTAAATTGTCGTTATAATTTATTTTCATAATTACTAACACAAATATAAATAATTATTAGGTAATGTATTGACATAATAATGAGTATATTAGTATAGATTAAATAAATTTATTCACCTTAGAATAATACATCGCCGTCACAGCCTGACCCAGGGGTACCGCGTGGCTCAGTATCACACCGTCGACGTCAAAGAAGACGATGAACATCTGTTTCCTTGCAGATGGGCCGACTTTAAACTTCTTAGGTGAGGGCGATCCTGGAGTTTTCCACATAAAAGACTGTGATTTCGTTTTAGGTTCGTATAGGCTGATCCATGTCTCATCAACAGACACTATCCGTCGCTAGAAACGTTCACCTTCTCTATGAAAACGTCTGAGAAATTGATTGCAACACCGCACCCTTTCCACTTTTTGTTCATCCGTCAACATTTTAGGAATCCACATGGCACACATGCGTCGCATATTGAGTTCATCGTGAATGATGCGATGCACTGTGCCAATGCTACAATCCGATCTTTCGTGTACTTCGCGAATTGTTATCCGACGATCATTGTCAAGCAGCTCCTTTATCACAGCGACGTGATTTGACGTTACGTTAGGACGTCCACTGCGTTTGTCGTCATGGGTGTTTTGTTGGCCACCTAGAAATCGGGCATACCACTTGTACATTGCTGTTTTCATCGCCTGATCACCATATGCTTTTTTGTAATCTTAAGATTGTTTCTTTCTTTGAAAACCCTTTCAAAACACAAAATTTTATTGAAGATTGTTGTGTCATATTAACGCATACGCACTAAACAATATGGCCGCTTAACGCATAAATGACGTCACACACTAACATGGAATCAGGTGCGTAACGCCAACATAAATTATGCAAAGTTTGGTGAAAATCGCACGGTAAAGGTTGAAATGCGACGTCATTATTAACCAGTGACTATTTGTAAAAATGAACAAAAGTGGGCCGATAATCGCTACATGTGTTTACCATAACGACCGTTTGATAACATATGATTCATGCCAGAACGGCAATGTTTGCTGTATATTTTCAAAATATGTTTGTCTCTATTACTGTATAAGATTAATTCAGCTTACTTGGAAAATAAGGAAATAGCGACACTTTTTGCGTATTTATTTAACAGCCCTCGTATATCTGAAGAACACAGAGGTGCGAAGCCTTGAAACGGTCAGCAGCACATACGTACTGCTGGGGAATTGAAAACCGGTTAACGGTGCACCAAACCTTATTCTTAGCCCCACTAAGTTCCTTAAAAATGACACATTATAAATAAAATGAATCACCCAAGTGAAATTCAACAGTTGCCAAGGTTACAAAAGGTAAAATTAATTCAACACAGGTTTGAGCATGTAGATACATATAAAAGTAAATCAAATGACCATAACAAAAGTACTAATGTCTTAAAGGAAGACAGAGCAACAAGAAAATCAACTAAAAAGCCTCACTAATCAAGACAGAAGACGAAATTAAGACAATCGAGTCCCAAGGCTTTTTCAAAACTGTCCATAATAGAATCTCCCACTTGGTCCGTCAGATGTTATCGAAAGAGGAAATTGTATTGTCCAACAGTAAAAGGGTTGAACACAAAGCATGCGGTATGTCTTAAAATTGTAGGGCCATAACCTCTTTCAATATAATGTTTAATGATTTTAGTAAAATAAGCAGAAAAATTTTCATGACCAAAGATATTACCAAGTTTGTAAATGACACAAAATCAGGCTTGCTTATCCCTTGTCGCAGAAATATTTTTTAAAATAACTAATGAATTTTGAAATTTAATCAAAATTATAAAATATTTCCACAATTTATGACAGCAGTAGCCCTGCTTAAGAAGCTTGCTACTTATGAAAATATTTCGGTCGTTGAAATCCTTTACGTTGCTACAAGCTCTAGCAAATCTAATTAACGCAGAAACATTTACCCGTTGATGTTGCATGGGGCACGTCTCTAATTGGGGATTATAAACTATACAAAAATCGAAGTCATCTCTTTTTATCATAGATTTTCGTGTGAATAGAATTGTTATTGATAGTAAAATCAAGATCCAAAAATGACGTACTAAACTTTTAAGAGTTCGTTTTATTAAGTTGTAATTCATATGGATAAATATCAGACACAATTTGAACACAATAAGAATTGTCTAAATTAAAAAAAATATCATCAAGGTATCTGGAAGTATTGTTTAATGTTATTATAACATCTTGTTGGGTATTTCAAAGATCAAAGAGACATAAAATCTCTTTCATAGCAGTACAGAATATTATAAACAAGATCAACAAGGAAAGGCGGCGTTCAATGAATGCAATCCCCAAAAACTCGTGCAAAGTGATTAATTTATGTGAAGTAGTATATCATACATATATCGTCTCGTTTGAATTGAAAATTCAATATGGTTAGACCAAACATAAATGATTTAGGGTATTAATTTAGGATTTATGAAGCAAAAAATGTGCTACAGAAAAAATTGTTAATCAAGTAAAACAGATAGAATGTAATGTTCCTGCTGCTATAGTGCATCGCAACATGTGCATTCAACTTGTTAAATGTGCTTTTCGAAATAATATACGTAAAACGGGTAAAAGTGATTATTTTACCCAACGTCGCACAGCAGCTGCCGCTGATGTTGAACGGAAAATATAATAACGTTGGTGACCACACCCACCCCTCCTCCCCCCCTGCAAAAAGAGAAATTGCAGCTAAGCGAAGGGTGTCTCTAGGCACTATGAACAGATTAATTTGCAATAATTCTAAAAGCAAAATCAGGGAAAAGTACCGTATTCATAGGCTTAGCGTGGCCCGGATTTTGAAACGATATTCTCGATCATGGCGTTTATATTTTCGTTTTAACTTTGGAAAATGGAGAAACGTTGTCACCACATATCAATGGTTCAAAGGTAAAAGGTAATAACTTCCATTTCTAGATTTCGAGAAAAAAGCAACATATATTTAAATACAACTTTATTTTCAGTAGTATTTTTATAACAATTTTGATTCTCCCATATTTATTGACTACATAAAATCATGTTTGTTAAGTTTACCTTGCTTGGTGCTGATAAAACACTGTAATTATAGTTTGTTTTAAAATTCTAAAATCAAAATAACATCATTTTACAGAAGTAAAAGATAATAAATGTACTTAGATCCTGTCAAGACAACAAGGTTGGGAGGTAAATGGTAATAACTGCACTTACGACCTTTTACTTCCGACGGTTTAGCAATAAAAATTCCTGATAAATTTTGGTAAAAGAGTATAAGTGCAGTTATAGCCTTGTTCCTCTGAAAAGAATTTAGATGTTGCAGTTATTGTTACTGTTGCAAATTTATTAATTATGTCCTTACTTTGAAGAACCCCTAGCTATGTCATTAACACACATGCACAATAATACTCGTACACAAAACTGACAATTTTCATTCATAGAAATATGAAATATGTACCTGTTCAATATTTAGATTCTACAGAAATAAATTGATAACTAAACAGTTATAAAATACGCACTGAAATCTTTGTTTGCAAATTTTCATTTATTTTGAATGTTCTCTGGTATATAATCGAATTGAAGTCAAACAGACCCCAGACATCAGCAATTCAGGATATCAGTGACCAATACCATAGTTAAGTAAATAAAGACTACTGTTTCATGTCACAAAATGCGAATGTTTGTCATTAATTATTCCATGACCTTCACTCATCTTCTTCACTCTCACTAACAGAAGGCATTGGAAGTTTGTCTTTTATAGATTTGCTGCATGGCAATGACTCATAGTATGATTCGTACTCCTTCGGAATTGTCCCAGAGGCAACAAGTGACATCAAATCAGCCTTTTTTGCAGCAGATATTGGAAGCTTCTCTGTATAAGCCTTTCGTGTAGCCTTAAGAGACTTTTCTTTGCTTCTGCTCTTCTCCTGCATTAACCATACTTCCTTGAACTCACTAACATCAAAACCATAGTTCACAAAAATTCTTTGTCTTTACGAACTTAAATCCCTTTTTATATTCAGCAAATTAACATGTTCTCAATCAGCATCGATTTTTATAGAGCCAAAGTTTTGTTCTTTGTACAACTTTTAATCCATTATGTCAGTGTATTTTATTGAAACGACAATATATGGTTGCTTCCGGCGTGCTAATGATATAACTGTTTCCCACTGAGATGGAACATTTACTTTTATGAGACTTTTTTGAATGCTCGATTGATGCATGTATGGAATCACATTCCATTCCATTTCTGAATGGCCACTTTCGAGAAATTTGTAGCTTATACACTTGATGTGAGGAATATCTTGGACACAGTGAACTTAGCAACATGCAACAAACTGATTGCATCATCATATAATGTCACATCTTCAATACCAGATGTCTTACTTGCAACAGAAGTTACATACAAGTACACACAAGTTCCGACTTCGCACGAGTCTCGTTTCCCCTGTCTCATCCAACAGTTACCATTTTCCAGTTCATAGAATGACAAATTGTAACAACACAGTTTTCTTTTGTAATAAAGTTCACCAATTAAACTGCATGGTGTTGTCAGTACAGCCTGGAGATCAAATGCCGACACCGAAAACTTTGTATCTTTCTTTGCGCGTTCTTTATCGGCTGATTTTGCCATTCTAGCATAGCTTTTTCTTTCTTTGTGTGCCTGACATTTTGCTTTTGTTGCCTCATCTAGTCTTTCTTCTATTATCAAAGTGTCATACAGATTACAGAGGTGACATTGATCTTTCTTAGGATAGAAGAAAGACAAGTTATATTCTGTTCAAAAAATATCTCTGAAACACACCTTCTATTTTGTCCTTTACATTTTTCTACATACAGTGAGTACATTCGTCTTATACTTAAATCTAGATACTTCCTGGAGTTGGAGTCTTTTCGTGTGTAGTGTGATTCAACAGTTGGAAAGCTTTCGATGTGTTTCTTTACAAATGATCTGTGGAATTCCGTAGTTTTATTTCCGGACACAGCTTTCCCTCTCTTGTCATTTCCAACATATAACTCTGCCACTTTGTGCTTAACTGCGTTTGCAACTGTATTGGAACCAACATCGAGAGTTTTTAGTAAAACGTCTTTGTACACTGTAACCATTTTGAAGAAAAACAAATTCGAAAAAGTTCTTTGTTTTGTTCTCTGTTTAGATACCTTCTTTGGTTCTTTATTGGCAACTGATTCGGTTATATTTTCATTGTTTGTCCTCTTTTACTTGTTAAACCTGTCCTTTTGACCGACGATCTTTTCTAATATTGGCTTTCACAAATGTCTGCTGACTCTTCGATTACGACTCAAACATTTACGTTTTGGGCTTATATATGATGCATCTTTGTGAGGCGTTACCTTCAGTGGAGACCTTTTTCGTTTTCGTTGCTTTGATGGCGTTCTTTTATTCTCTGAGGGTTCAGCGGTTTGCTGTGTTTCACAAGCTTGATCAGCAATTTCTTTCCTGCCATCTGTGACATTTAAGTTTGTTGCTACAGCATTATAGTGATCTTTAAGTGGTTGTGTTTTGCAACGTGTGCCTCTAAGATTGGTGGCAAATCTAACTCAGTGTTGATGTGTGGTTTAATTTCTACAATCGGTTGGGTTGGCCGGCTGGAAAATATCCGAAGTCGTCGTTGAAATAAATTAGCAATGCAGAGCGGCACAAAATCTGCCATGTATGTATGTATTCCATCTACCGTCAAACCTTATAATGATACCATGTTTTATATAGGCGATAGTTACGGTCGACGTAATATTTGCTACATTCCAACTAATGAGACAGACCTTATCAAAGTGAAGATAATAAAGCGAGATGCATTTGTACCCGGGTTTATGGTTTGAACCGGGCTAGTTACTACAGCAAGACATTTATAATCGTTGTCATAAAAGGGATAAATGCAAAATATTACACAGACACATAAACAAAGTTCTTAGCCCCTTTCACAAAAGATATTCTGCGACATTTTGCTGGAAGAAAGAATGATATTGGATTCCATCAAACCTCGGCTTCTAGTCATATCGCTCAAATGACCATAAACATTTTCAACAAACGCAAAGTGATTAACATTAAACCTGATAAATGCCAAAAATCCATAATGCAGCTCCAATGGACTTCGGTATGTGGGTTACATTGAATTGCAGGCTACAGAATCGCAAATTTATATCATGACCGGTCTGAAAAAGTCTATTAAACACGAATGGAGCCAATTTGAACAATGACCCAGAGCTCCAGATATTTTTTTTGTCCAAGGGGTTTTTACCCCTCAAAATTTAGAGTGAGGGGTGAATTGCAAATTCTGAAAAAAACTTTTACAAATAAAATACTTTCTCCAATGTGAAACAATATAAAACATGCTCTGTAAAGTCAGACTTCAAGAGTATACTGGGACTCAAGTTAAGGATACACAGAAAAATTATCAGGGCTTCCATTTTCAAAATTTGGAAGTCAAATACTTCAAAATCTCTGATATTGGAAGTCACATTTTATAGGTAAAGAAGGAAAAGTATTAGATTTTGGAAGTCACAAGCCAAAATGACCCAAACTTCCACTAGTGGAAACCCTGAAATTATTTTATATACTAGGAGTCAATATTTTCTTTCTTTATTTCTGTTGGCATGTACCTTATCCTGTACTCCAGTTCGAACAATTATAGTTGAAATTAGAATTAAAGAAAAATAAACAAGATTTTTTTATCTTACCTTAAAAAAAGTATTGGTCTGAGAGAAAAGTGTTCGTAACTGTGGAATGGGTACGAAAATATTGAGTACAAAACTGCAGGTGAAAAACATGTTTTTTGTTCCAACAACAAAAGTGAAATAAATTAAAGTGTATTTGTGTTTATATTGAGGCATAGGCATGTCAATAGATGCCTAAACAAACTTAATACTATGTTAACTCCTACAATGATTATCTGGCACAAATTTTATCAATAATTTCAAAATTTGATCTACGGGAGTCATCTCCCTTCTGTACTTCCTGCTACTTTCGTTTTTAACATGCGTTGTTGACAACAGAATTTTTAGTTTGTTTTCAACGCATTGAAATAGAAATATATCGATTTTTTTGCTTAAAATATCCTCTTTATAAATATCAAATGTTTGCACTTCTTCTCTTTCACGCTTAAATTTTGACATACAGGTGTATTTTCAATTTGTTGTGCGTTACTTTGACGCACAAATTTTGAAAGCAATGCGTATATTTGATTTTCTATGCGTATTTCACGCTGATACGCACGCTCTCTGGAGCTCTGCTGAGTCATGCATAAACCGGACTTAAGACAGCTGGCCAAAAATGTGTAGACTTATTTTATGTTACTATTGCAATGGATCCCAGATGTTGCAATAAAACAAATGCGAATCAATTATAAGGCGGGTTTTGAAACTGTTAGATAATAAATTGAACACCTCTCGTACTTGTTTACAAAAAGGTTAACTGCCATTTTGTGTGTTGCATCTGTATTTACTTAGTTTTAAAACAAATCGTATATTATGAATTCAAATGTCATGTAAATATGTTAAATAGGTTTCAGATACAAAGTATACAGATAAACAAACAATTCAATGACTGTTCATGTACTTAATCTGGACCATAATTTTCATAAGTATACAAGTATACAATGTCTCTTTTGGAGCAGTATCTTGATTCCTTGTTCATGGAATAACATTTTTGTTGTTAACATGCAAACAAAAAGGAACATGAAGTAACATACAATGTAATGGTTCTAACGGATGTGTCTTTCTTCTACCAGTAGTGATAATTTCTTTTTAATTCTGTAAAAGTTTACTCATTTTATCTCTGGTTGACGACCAAAATGTCTTCTTAGCAAATAGATATGCACGGAAGCGAAGGAATTAATATTTACATACCTTTTTGTTTTATGTCTTTCATGACCTTTTCCTTCCGCAATATTTCCATTTTCTTTTCATTCATGTTGTCTTTGAATCTTTGAAATGCGTCAGTCAACTACAATAAATTATCGTTCTTATTTTAAACAGAACTTTGACAAAACATATAACGTTAAATATTTTTTGTTTGGTTTAATGCAAATCGTAAGAAAGTGTTATAAATACAGACGCTGACGATATAATAAAGAGAACTAATGCATAAATATTAATAACCCTAAGCTTTCAAGCAAAGTGTAATTTGGAAGACAAACTTTGCTCGTTGTAACCTTTTAACATTTGTGAAAAACTATTACGCTGCTACAAAAGAAATAAGAAGAAAAAACATAAAAAAAACAAACAAAAACAACAACAACAACAACAACAAAACAAATCAAAAAACATCAAACTCCTAAGGAACGCAAAAAACTGCACAACTGACAATGTTGCAGGCTCTGTTTGATTGAGCAGCTTCATGCACCGAATTGAGATATGCGTTTAGTGTATTAGCATACATTCTCATATTGCTTAAAAAATTACGAATTTAATCGTTTGAAATGAATTCGGATAAGATCTTTTCAGTCTGAAAAATACAGAATCTGATTACCTCATCTTTATCAAAGTCATTCATCTGACTGTAAAAGTTACTTTCTAAGTATCCCATATGTGCTTTGAATAATGAGTAGCCATCTTCAAAATTGTATGCTTCTTCACTCCGTATTATTTCATCGTGAAGGATATCCAGTTTTTCCCTACATATATCTTGAATGCGGTTTGAGTTTCTAGAACGTAACTCTTTCCAATCCCTTTTTAATTGCTCCTAAAAAGAGAATATTGAAAGCAGTCAGCGCAATTTAAATGGAGACTATGTGATTGTCATTTATTATGATTTGTTTTATCTTTTTAAACTAATCTTATATATTCATTGTCAATATCTATGATGATCAAAGTTTAATCATTAAGATTACACATTTCTTAATTTATCGATCAGTAGAACTACGTATCAATACTGATGCTCAGTCTGAGAGCTATACAAGGAGCTGTGTAAGCCCGCTGCGTCCCCTTAGTTCTCGAACTATATGAGAAAAGGAACCTTCTGCTCTTATTTTAAGATTGATGTTGCAAAAATCTTAACAGATTAGGACTTTAATTTCACAGCTCCCGCAACTCTTTTTTCTGCTGAGTTTTGTTTACATTTCAGGAGTCAACAACTACCCAACACTTTGACATGACTGGGACAGATGTTATATGCTGGGCGACGGAGTACTTAAATTGCAGACGATTGCTAATAGGAAAGACATATATTTAGTCAAAGTTATCGGTGCTCTTGAAAACTTACCTATAGGATACCAAAAATGTTTGTGAGAAATATCGGACATTACATAACACGTGTAACCTTTGTCGGTGCATATTTATTGTGTTAGTTTGAAATATTTCATATTTGACTTCTATTTCAGCTGAAATTTAACATAACGTTTTTCTATTTGCGACCGTTGTCGGAGCAAATATGATGTGTATACAAAGTTCTAAAATTATTTTTATACCCAGTCATGATGGAATATTCGCCACAAGATATTAAAAAAATTTATCACAAACATTTGGTATGTTTTCTTCTTGTATAAGATTGATTTGCGATGTGTAGTGGCCTCTCTGGTTCGAACCAGCAACTATCTTCTAGAATTCTCTTATTATACATTCATTGGAGAATAATTTATATATTTTACAACTATTTTACATATTAATTTCCACTTAATTTTGCATCCTGAATTTAGGATAAAGCATAGCTATTCTTAACATTTAGAAAAAAATTGCCGATTCGACGTTATTTTAGTGTCAACTTCATATTACTTTTCGTAAATGTGAACTTTTAATACGAAATTTATAATGAATGATAAATTGTTTTTGTAGACTGACAAGAAGAGAGTCGTAGACTGGTGATTTTTCCTATTTATAATTAAAAAAAACGCATGTACCTGTATATATAAAAATTCGTTTTCTTTCTTACAAAAGAAATAAAAATTAGTCTTCAAGCAAAGTAAAAGGGCAATTAAGTCATTTGAAAGTACCCAACTCAGGTTTTTTGACTTTTTGACATGATGGTACTAGAATCATTGTTTTGAAATATATTTACCATTTGATGAAGGTATAAGCCAATAATTTATGTGCAAATTTTCAGATCATTCTATTACCTCAATTTTCCAAAATAATTTTGCAAAATAAATCCAAAATGAAAAAACGTTACAGAGTTTTACACGGATATCGGTTTGAAATTGCACTTAATAACGAATTTCAATTTAATTATGATACTTTCATTTTAAGTGCTTTACTTGATGTAGGAAAAAGTGTTTTAGGCTTTTTAACCAGAAATGAAATCCTATAACGTAGTTTTGAAGCTATTAGTATACAAGGCGAACGAAAGGTTAATTAAGTCTATATTGTACATTGTCAATATACAAATCTCACAATTAGAATACTCTCAGATTCGTGTCCACATAAGTAAGCTTTTTCTCTATACTTCTGCATCATTGTACTATGGATGTCAAAGAATTGGTTCTGTAACTCTTCCTTTCTGGTGATTGGGAGTTGCATTTCTTTAATACGGTTTTGAAACCAGTTAGTAATCTCAGTGACTACAACTTCGTTGCGTTTCTTTGATGCTTTTTCATATGCTTCTTCGATGTCCAGGTCAAAACCATTCCTGATTGCTTCAACATACGTCTTGACTATTTCAGCAAGTGCTTAAATATCAAAATTATTTTACCTATAGCTTTACCACAGATTTCATCTTTTATCTTCTGTGAATGTATCAAATGAATATTTTGAGAAGTAATGATTATTGAAACATTTTTTGGAAAAAGTATGATTTCTCAGTTGCAATAATCACAACAAAGTTGTATGAATAAAACTGTCTCGGTTTGATTGAGTATGTCTGTTTATGAGGGATAATAAAATGATCAACATCTCTCACGGTCCCTAGGACATATTTAAGCGTTACTTACTTTTCAACACTAAAAAAATTTAAATCAATGACCCGAAGGACCAGAAAAATAAAACAACACTAAGTGAAGTACGGATCAATTTTTCACAGTTGCTTCATAACATTGAAACCAGCTGTTGTGAAGAATATACATCTGGATAAAGTGTGATCCCTCGGTAATAAAATCAAAGTTTTTTCAATGGACATAAATAATTCATACCTTTTTACAGTCTTACCTAAGCCATCGATTTCCTTTTGTGAAAGGAACCTTTTCTGCTTACACTTGTAGATATACTCTCTCAATGATTGAATTTCTTTGATGAATTCAGCATCTAATTCTTTTTCAGTTAAATTGTCTAAAGTTGTCAAATTTCTTGGATGAACCGGCATGCTAATCCTAAAACATGTGCGATTTGGGAAATACTTTCGGATACATTTAATTGTTTCATTATCGTCTCCAAAACCAGAAAGGCAAGATTCGAGATATTGTTCTTCTGTAACATGCGCGTTATCTTCTTCTCCGCCCATTTGAAGATAAAAATCTCTAAGACAAAGGATAAATGTTGGTGATACTAAACTGATCATCTTTTCATTTTCTTGATTATCCAACGTTTTACAAACTTTTATACTTTGTGACATTTTTGACACAAATCTTATGTTTGTTAAGGGTTTTCTTGGTAGAAACAAATGAAATTTTGGACATATGAATCAATAAAGGTATTTTAGGTTACAGTGATGATCGCTTAGAGCAATTCGGCTATAGCGATAACTCGAATCGGATATGATGTTTGATACCGGTGCTCCTTCTTATGTTTATATTCAAAATCAACATTGAAAGCATACACGTTAACCGTGTAATCCATGCAACCATTTATTACTGTAAAACTTATAAATTTAGAGCAAATTGTTAAACTTAATTCATTGTTAATACAAGGGTTTACAGTTTGACAAGCCTGTCACAAAGAAACACATTGATATCACTTAAAAGTGATGCTTTTTTATAAGACTTCCAAAATATGAAAATCAATAAAAGACAATAGTACTTGTATAATGGTAGCAAAACAAAATTAAAGTGTCAAGAGTTAACTTCTTGTTTTCGCTGATTGATGTCTATATATCATATTACTACAATTGATAATTGTTGAAATAAGAAAAGCTATCTTACAACTTTCATATCTAGACCCTTTTCCGTTATATTTTAAATGTTGAAACCGTTGCATCTATCGTTACCCAGTAGAATGCAACAGAATTATACAGTCCATATGACAAATCCTGCCATTCTTTACTCGTTTCTTATAAAAATAATACTATATGAGCTTAAAGATGCAATTCAGATGTCAAGAAATACTACTGCTTCTAAACTGAGAGTCTGTTTATTTAAGCTGTCGATGAACCCAAATACTAAAGAACCCTAAACCAAACAAAAAAAGTATTGCGAGAGAAATCTCATTTCCTAAAGGATACGATATTTTCTTAATAGCATCTGCATTGAAGACTCCCCTCACATTATAAATCAATGTACTGCTCAAAAGCACCGTGAGACAAAATAATTTTTGATCGGATTCTTCATTTGCCTGAGAAAAGAAAAAGACAATTTTGCTTAAATTTAGGTTCCAAATAATATACATACATATCATGTTCACGTTTACTTTTGCCTTCTAATTACTGTGTTAAAGCATAGCATTTACCTTTTTGGGATCCGCCAGCCCCTCTGTGTCTATCAGCATTAAAACATGGCGTTCTTTTGTAGGATGAATAATACACCATACCCATATGCCTTTCGTATGGGAACGGACCGTGTGCCCCATTGAAAACCCTGCAAGTGTAATATAAGACAATGAAATACTATACTTGAGACACTTTAAAAAATAACAAATAGGCATGTTCATGTTTGTAACTATGGTTAGAAAGTACAGAAATAACTCCAACAGGTATAGATTTGTTATATTCTATGTTATACTTTGCCTGTTTGTATAACTCTTTCAGGTTATTATTTTAAAATATGATAAACAAGATCAACAAAGAAAGGCGGCATTTAATGTTCAATGGTGCACCAAACCTCACTCTTAGCCCCACCATGTTCCTATAAACGAGACAGTGTAAATAAAATGAATCCACACCAAGTGAAATTTTAACAGTTGTTATGGTTACAAAAGGTGAAGTAAGTAAAACACCAAAATGATCATGTAGAAAACCCAATTACCATAACAAAAGTACTCAATGGCTTAACGGAAGACAGAGCATTCAGTTGTGTTAACTCAACAGTGCCGTTGTAAACGAAATATTACACATTTGTAAAACATATGCCATTTCAAATGTGAAAAAACTTGGGTCATAAATTTTCTGCTGTTTTTATTAAAATCATTAAACGTTTTTTTAAAAGAGGTTATGACCCTACTATTTTTAGACATACTGCATGCTGAATGTTCAACCCTTTTACAGTTGGACACTATGCTTTCCTCTTGATTACATCTGACAAACCAAATGGGAGACTCTATGATGGACAGTTCTTAACGCCTTTTGGGACTGAATTGCCTTAATGTTCGTCTTCTGCCTTGCTTCGTCGGGCCCTTGTAGGTGATTTTCTTGTTGCTCTGTCTTCCTTTAAGACATTGAGTACTTTTGTTATGGTAATTGGGTTTTCTACATGATCATTTTGGTGTTTTACTTATTTCACCTTTTGTAACCATAACAGCTGTTAAAATTTCACTTGGTGTGGATTAATTTTATTTACACTGTCTCGTTTATAGGAACATGGTAGGGCTAAGAGTGAGGTTTGGTGCACCATTAACCGGTTTAAACTCCCAAGCAGTACTTGTGCTGCTGACCGTTCCAAAGCGATGCCCTTCTGTGTTCCTGAAATGTATGTTTTTGTTGTTTCATACTGTTTTGGGGACACCTTTGTTTGTTTACCTTGTTGTTATCTCGTCTACGGTAGGTATCTTCCCTTTTGCCCCTATTTTTATCTTTTTTTATTTTGACCTTCCCGTTCCCCGTACTTCAAGTCCCCTTCCTCGTGCCCTTTTACTTTATGGGCCTTTTTATCAGTCAATTGTATTTGATTTTCTTCTCGGTTACTTTTATTTCTTTTCATGTATTATTAAGTGATTATCTTGTCTGTGTTCTGCCTTGTGTTATGTCCTATTTGTTATGTTTGGTGTCCTCCTTGGCTCCTCACCGCTGGTCCTTGTTACTGGGTCATATGGTCATATGGGGGTTGCGTTCATTGAATGCCGCCTTTCTTTGTTGATCTTGTTTGTCATATTTAAGCAAATTCACGTAATTTTAATACAAGAAACAAGTCTTGCTATTGTTATGAAATTTGAAACTAATCTTTTACTAGAAGAGTATTCTTTTAGGATGGTAAATCTGGACAATATTTCTAAGCTGGTTAAAATGTTTATGTTAACTTTTACTCATTTTCTGTTGTAAAACAATTGAGTCATTAACAGTCCAGGATATTGGCACAGCTCAGTTATTTTTAGATTATGAGCATACCTCATTCCAAATTTGGAAAGGTCGCGCAGACAAAGGTCGCGCGACACTAAAGGTAGTGTTATGAAATTTGAAACTAATCTTTTACTAGAAGAGTATTCTTTTAGGATGGTAAATCTGGACAATATTTCTAAGCTGGTTAAAATGTTTATGTTAACTTTTACTCATTTTCTGTTGTAAAACAATTGAGTCATTAACAGTCCAGGATATTGGCACAGCTCAGTTATTTTTAGATTATGAGCATACCTCATTCCAAATTTGGAAAGGTCGCGCAGACAAAGGTCGCGCGACACTAAATGTCGCGCAATAGGAAAGGTCGCGCAGAATCAGCTTTCCCAGGCATGCTAGTTCCAAATATGGAGAGGTCGCGCAATAAGAGGTCGCGCAGTCTAAAAGTACAAGGTTTAAGTTATTTTTAGCCCTTCAGCATCTCAATCAATTGTTGTAAACAAAGCATAATTTGGTCATATCAGATTTTATGAATGGGATTCCTTCCTGCTTTATCTATGTACAGGTTACTTGGTTCAAATGTTGAGCTGTATGTTGTAAAGCTGGAGAGATTATATTTCTGTTGTTTAATGAATTATCAGTCAGTATTATATGTTTATAGAAATGTCAATCAGTAGTAAATGTATTGGTCTTATAAAGCCCATATATAGTACATATATCTTTATTACTGCAAGTATATTTTGCACTATTAAGATGCATTATTGGACAGATAATTATTATCCTATTGAGTGTTCAAACATGTAAATTTATATAACTATTATGTTATTTTTGTACTAATGTTTGTATTGTACAACAGTCTGTATACCTGAACCAGTTGCAGGCCTTTTTGAACATTGTTAAGGCATTGTCAGCATTTTTAAAAGGTCGCGCAACATTCAGGTCGCGCAAATGAGTTGTGTGCAAACTGGAGAGGTCGCGCAATAAGAGGTCGCGCAACAGTCTACTTTTGCACACCACCCTAGCTGCGCAAACAGAAGGGTATATAAGCTGGGAACTTTTCTAGCTGGGTTAGTTTTGGAGTTTTGGAGAGAGTTGGAGTTGGTTGAGTTGAGTTAGTTAGTAATTGAAGAATGTATTTGTTGAAGTTGTTAAGAATTTTACTTTTTTTTGACTTGTTAATAAAATAAAATGATGCATTATTTTGATTTACTGCAATAAATATAATCCTGCTTTCACTTGGACTTGACTTGTTCATTATACCAGCATAGAGAAATGGTTTAACTTTTAAGCGAAAAGAGTGAATAAACAAAGCTTTTCACAAAAAGTGAAATGATTTCGTAACACTGGTGGCAGCGGTGGGATAAGGACTTTAACATGCTTCAGCATAGGGATAAAGACTTTGATTTTTTTCTACTTTTGAGTGTAATGGACTTACATAAAAAATGGAAAAAGGAATTTGAATCATTGCGTCAGACTGTTTCTTTGTGCTGTTTAGAAATAGGAAATATCTCCAAAGAACTAGTTAGTCATAGTGAAAATCTAACAAGTGCATTTAGTTGATTTTTTGTAACAAAGTGAATGAAATTTTAGAAATGAAAAGTAATGAATCAGTGAATTAAATCATATAATGCAAATTACGTGCTTCTATGTTAGACGATGACACTCAGTGTTTAGAAGAAAGTCAGTAATATGGACCTAAGAAATCTGCTAGATCTGCATCAGCATCACGTCTTGAAAATTCAGAACTTACAATGGATTTACGTCAACAACTTTCCAGAAAGATTGATGAAAATGATGATTTACAAGTAATTTTTAACTGATGCTGGCAAAATATTTGAGAAATTAAATGAAATGTCAAAATTTACAAAGTGAAAAGTTGGTTACAAGAGAATTATAGAAAGTGAAAATGAACAATTTCGAAGAGATAAGGAAATTTTGAAAGTCTATATCATACAACTCAGATGAATAGAGACAGACAAATCCAAAGTATTGACAAATTGAAATTGATGAATTACAAATATTTTACAATTCAAGAGATGTTGAACTTAGTCGCCTGAGAAGAAATGCATTACGAAAAGTAACCAAAGAAATTCTCGGGATTTATAATGTTCCACTACCAAACCAGGTTCTTTTTGATGGTAAAACATCATACACCGCATTCATACGTCAATTGCTGTGTTGGCGAGACATGCCAATGGAGTGATGATAAGAGAGGGCATTTCGCTTGCTGAATAGTCTGAGGGACGATGTCAGCAGATTTGTATTCAAACCAGGTCAGTCCTGAAACTCAACAATCTTACAAACAGCTTGAGCAATGGTCTAGCAGCGAGATTTGTAGAAAGACGTTCTACCGCTTCTTATTTGATGGAGCTCGAAAATGTCAAGCTTCACTCAAGGGAAAAACTCGTGGAGTATGTTGCAGATATAAAGCGTCTTGTTCGAAAGGGCTACCCAACTGGCAGATGATCATACTATTGGTACAATTTGTTTACGGCATTTTATTTAGAGGTCTGGGTGACTCCAGATGGCTCTGGCTATAGGGATGAAGGATCGACCAGTATCGAAAATGCACGCGAGATTCTGGACGTACACTATAGTTTGAAGGATGAAACTAAAGCAAACCCAAAGTTCGAATGGTTCGTCAAGGGAACAACAATGTTTCTCAGAGCAGTTTTTGTCTTTCAAGAAGAATAGATAAAAAATTTTGATGAGATTCTGTCTGTCATTAAAAAAGCCAAGATATGCAGCAGAAAAATTCAAAAGAAGGGATTTATCTACTGTTGAGTGTTGATTAAGTGTCATAATTTAGGTCATTATGCACGTGATTGCACGAGTTCAGCCAAGAGTGATAAAAATAAGCCGGAAAACTAGGTGGGACTAAGGCAAGACGGCCTTGCGTTTAGTCCAAATCATAGTGAAAAAGTGATAAAAATTCATTTTTATGATACCTGCAATGGATTATCTTTGTTTACTGTGAAATTTTGGTGATATCAGTGAAATTTAGTAGTAGATACTGGAGCAGTTGTTACTATTGTTTCTTCTAATATCTATCATAGTGTGCCCTTCGGATATGTTCGTCCATCATTGGAGAAAATTGATCCAAATTTTAAGCTTGAAGTTGCAAATGAAGGGTATCTCCCTATTTTAGGTAAAAACTGTGATGAGTTTTTAAAATTCATAAGGATATATTTAAGTTCAATGTGTTTATTGCACCAATTCAAGAAGATGGTCTTTTAGGTCTTGATTTTCTACAAGAAAAATAATTTTGTGCTAAGTGCAGAAAATGGTTTGCGTCTAAATGGAAAGAAGTATCCTACGTTGATGGAATCTTCAGTTTTCAAAATGATGCGTGTCAAAAGTTCAAGTCAGTCATTGTACAGCAAATAGTGAAGTGATAATAGAAGGAAGTTGTTTCTGGCGGCAAAATTGATACCGAGTTTGGAATTGTTACGCCATTAAAAAAAGGTGATGATAGTGAAATAGCTTAATTGTTGGCCATTACGCTGGTCAAACCCTCATTCTAAAAATGGTTGTGTTCCAATTCGTTTAATGAATATTAGCAATGAAAATGTAAAAATTGAGCTAATACTAACTGCTTGGATATATTGAGAATGCTGAAAAAGTTAGTTTTTGTGAGAAAAATGAGTGTTTTGTTAATGAAAAGTGTGACTCAAAGCTTCATCTCATTTAAATGAGCTTTATGAAAATTCAGTGAAAAATCTTAATTATGATCAAAGAGTGAAACTTAAGAATCTTTTGATTAAGCATTCAAATGTGTTTGCAAAGTCACCAAATGATTTCGGTCGTACATCTGTAATAAAGCACAACATCAATACTGGGGCAGCAAAGCCTATTAAGCAACGCCCTAGGCGCGCCACCAAAAGCTTTCGCAAATGAAGAAGAGAAAATAATTAAAGATCAGTTAGCGGCCAATATTATTCAGGAAAGTAATTCTCCTTGGGCGTCTCCATTAGTATATGTCAGGAAACGTGATGGAACAACACGACCTTGTGTGGATTATCGTCAGCTTAACAACGTAACAGAAAAAGATGCATACCCCTTACCTAATATTAGTGATTGTTTGGAAAGTTTAGGGGGATCATCATATTTTTCGTGCTTGGATATTTTGTCAGCCTATTATCAGATTGAAGTTGATGAGGCTGATCGCCCAAAGACAGCCTTCACTACAAAATTCGGTTTATTTGAATATTTGGTAATGCCGTTCGGATTATGTAATGCACCGTCAACCTTCCAACGATGTATGGAATTAGTAATTAGAGGTCTTCAGTGGGAAATTTTGCTGATATACCTTGACGATTTGATCATTTTTGGCCGCACATTTGAAGAACATTTAGATAGGCTTGATTCAGTTTTAACGCGTTTGTGTGAGTGTGGAATGAAACTGAAGCCAAGCAAATGTTTTCTGTTAAAAACTGAAGTGTCATTCTTAGGACATGTAGTTAGTAAGGAAGGAATAAGCCCTCAAAAGTCTAAAGTTAGTTGTATTGCAAATTGGGAAAGGCCGTACGATTTAACAACTCTGCGATCCTTTCTTGGTTTTTGTTCATACTACAGGATATATATTCGTGATTTTTCCACAAGAGCTAGGCCATTAAATAGGTTGTTGGAGGCCGGACAACCATTTGAATGGTCTGATGAATGTCAGAAAAGTTTCGACGATTTACGCAGTGCATTGACTGGTGATGAAGTCATGGCATACCCTCAAGATGATGGATTATTCATACTTGATTGCGATGCGTCGAATTTCGGTATAGGAGGATTTTTGTCACAAATGCAGTTTAGTGAAAAACTTGGACAGTGTATCGAGAAGCCAATAGCATATGCGAGCAAAAGCTTGAATAAGGCTCAAAGACGCTATTGTGTAACACGTCGGAACTGTTGGCAGTTGTTACATTTGTTACTATGTTTAAACAGTATTTGTTAGGACGTTCGTTCTTAGTGAGAAGTGATCATTCTTCATTAAGATGGATTATGTACTTCAAAGAACCAGAAAATCAGATGGCTAGATGGCTTGAAGTGCTATCACAATATGACTTTAAGCTAGAGCATCGCAAGGGAACTAAGCATGCAAAATGCTGACTTTTTGTCGAGGATTCCGTGTGACCCTTGTTCGTGTACTTGTTATAGTGGTCACTCTATTCTAAGTGAGCTTCCGTGTGGAGGTTGTAAAGAATGTGTGAAAAAGCATGAACAGTGGTCGGAACTTTCAGATTTTGATGATGTGGTTCCACTGGTGTCTAAGAAAGTCAAGCGAGTCAGAGGAAAAGGTGTTCCTGCCGACTTAATTAGGGACTGTTCTGCATCAGTGCTGAATTTTCTGTTTGTTTTTGCGTTGTATCTGGGAGCGTTTCTCAGGCAAATTGAACAGAAATTTCGTTGTTGTGAGAAATTTGTTTCTGTGAGAAGACTTAGGGCAACGGAGGAGAAACGTGCGCCTAAGTCTGGTGCTGCGGATAACATTGATTTAAGTGATGCCACCAAAGAGAAGGATATGGCACAGACATCACATGCAGGAGGTCTGTACCCAAATGGTGACATTTCATCTGAAAAAGTGTATAAGTTCTCAAATTGGGTAGGTTCGTATACCACAACTGAACTTATCAAATGATGAGGACATTCCACATCCAACAAAGCGGCAGAAAGTGAATCACACTAAATCATGTAGCGAAATATCAGTTGAAAAACGTTGGGAAAACATTGAAAAGAAAATTGACATATTAACACAAGAAGTAAATAAAACACAATTAATATTACAGGAAGAAATAAACAATAGTGCAGCTTGCATTCAAGACTATCAAAGAACTTTAACTTTGCACATTCAAAAAGAAATTAAACATATTCAAACAGAAAAAAAACAAGCAATGAGTGACTTTCTAAAATGTCTTACTGAACTTAACAAAAGTGTGTTGGAGATTGTGAATTAAATTGAAGAGACAGGGAAAACTTTTATGGGATTTTATCTAATTGAACAGTAGAATACTTATGTTTTATATTTCATAAAAATCTGTAATGCTTATTTGTTAATTTGTTTAGTTTTGCTTATGTTTAATCTGCATAATATCATATAACACTTAGTAGTTTTTCACATGTATTGTTTAGTACCAATATTATTCTTTTATTATTATTTGATTTTTATTTCAATTTCACTTAACAAGAGTTTTCAAGGTTTGCTTCAAATTTAAAAACTTAACATGTGTAAATTAATTGGTTTTGCTTCCGGAGTAAGCAAAGTCCAAAGGTGGGAGAGTGTTATGAAATTTGAAACTAATCTTTTACTAGAAGAGTATTCTTTTAGGATGGTAAATCTGGACAATATTTCTAAGCTGGTTAAAATGTTTATGTTAACTTTTACTCATTTTCTGTTGTAAAACAATTGAGTCATTAACAGTCCAGGATATTGGCACAGCTCAGTTATTTTTAGATTATGAGCATACCTCATTCCAAATTTGGAAAGGTCGCGCAGACAAAGGTCGCGCGACACTAAAGGTCGCGCAATAGGAAAGGTCGCGCAGAATCAGCTTTCCCAGGCATGCTAGTTCCAAGTATGGAAGGTCGCGAAAGAGGTCGGCGCAGGTCTAAAAGTTACAGGTTTTAGTGTATTTTTGCCCTTCAGATCTCAATTGTTGTAAACAAGCTAATTTGGTATATAGATTTTATGTGGGATTCCTGCCTGTTTCATCTATGTCAGTTATTGTTCTAAATGTTGAGTGGTAGTTGTTGTAAGCTGGAGGATTTATTTCTGTTGTTTAATGATATCGTCAGTTATAGATTCTAGTATGTTGATGAATATTAGTAATACTTTCTGAGTTATTTGCATATTAGTGTTATGGAGTATTATTTCTTGGTGTTAAGTATTTATTACTTATGTATTTGTGTTTATGTACTGATATGACGTTTGAGGGATTTATGTAAGCTGCGATTTTAAAAGTTGCTTAAAGGTCGCGCAATGAGTTTGTGTGCCAAACTGGAAGGTCGCGCAATAAGGTCGCTGAACAGTCTATTTTGCAACACCTAGCTGCGCAAACAGAAGGGTATATAAGCTGGGAACTTTTCTAGCTGGGTTAGTTTTGGAGTTTTGGAGAGAGTTGGAGTTGGTTGAGTTGAGTTAGTTAGTAATTGAAGAAATGTATTTGTTGAAGTTGTTAAGAATTTTACTTTGGTTTTGACTGTTGATAGAAAATAAAATGATGCATTATTTTGATTTACTGCAATAAATATAATCCTGCTTTCACTTGGACTTGACTTGTTCATTATACCAGCATAGAGAAATGGTTTACTTTTAAGCGAAAAGAGTGAATAAACAAAGCTTTTCACAAAAAGTGAAATGATTTCGTAACACTATCGTTGTTACTTTTAATAGAACGACGTATGTTTATAGTTGTTTAGTGAAAATTGTTACATTGCTTAATTTAAAGTAAAACCTTTTAGTTTACCTTCGGATTTGCGGTGAGCTATTTGGTTCATCAAGTACGATTTGCCTGTTCTGTATAATCCTACAATAGCTGCAATACTTAAAGGAACATCAATGACTTCAATTTCATTTAACACAGAGTCTTTAATATCTAGATTTCCCGATTCATCTTCAAATATGAGGCACTGTGGTTGTTTGAATATACTGAGTTCCATAAATCTATAGAAAAATCAAAAGTTTTAATGCATTGAAATTGACTGATCCAACAAATCAAATACATAAAGTGTTACATTATCAAGTACAAAAATATAATACAAACCATTGTTTTATTGTCATTTAGATGGTAACATAACAAGAAATAAAGGAATTCTACTGAGAAAGAATACAATTATTGCCAATATCTGTATTCTTTTTTACTTTAAATGATTAATAAACATTAAGACTTGTACTCTTGAATCATCACATTATAATCAGACAGTTAGATTCAGCCTTACAAACAATTGAAGTCGGATTAAAATTAGCTAGAAGTTGGAACACTTAACTTTGGATTGTCTTTGGATTTATGTTGGTTTGCAGCAATTTTAGACGTCATTAACACAACGTCATATATAACTGAAATCCAACAAAACTGACTAGATGTTAGTATTCTAGAATTTGACCAGCAGCCATTTCAAAGTTTGGAGTCACTTTGATACACTTAAGTAAGCACATATGACGACTTTGTCTTATTTATTATTACATAAATGATTTATTTATAATTCCTGCATATGGATGGAAAGGAAACAATACATAGACGAATAATCTGTCTTATTTTACTTTACATAGAGCTAAACACACATTTTACAGAGATTCATACTATATAGAGGGAGAGGTATTATTCATTAAATAAACAGGAAACACACCCAAAATGTCCAACGTAACAAATAACTGCATTTATTACACTGTTTTCAGTAATTATACTGTAAAATTATAATTCTTGCACTATCGGAATTTTTCTTTATAAACAAAGAAGGCCCGAAGTGTGCATTATTCTACAACAATGCGCTCGCCGTTCTTATTATCTTCCTGTGTATTTTTACATTTTGCGCGCCATTTTGTTTGAAAAATCTGATGAATAAAAAAACATTTTTTGTCGAATTTTGTTGTGAAAACTATCTAGAATGAAAGAAAATAATTGAAACTGAGAACATGAATCCGAACACCAAAATCTTCTTTTCAGTCGTTTACGCTGTACAAACGTTTAAAGTGTTGTTTACATGACGTCACAATGTTGCGCCAACAGCACGTGCAAAACAATCAAATCAAGAACGCTATTTTAATGTCGTAAACAAGTTAAGTTTGAAATTTATTTCACTTTTAATATCTTGTATTTCTCTTGAAAAAGTATAGAGTGAAATAAAATAAACTATAGTCTGTCCCATTAAAAATGGAAATGAACTTTTGCCTGGTATGAATTAACAAAACGACGGTGAATAAAAAATAAAACTTTTTTGTAAACTTAAAAAAAGTCACCCTCGAGATTTTTCAGGATTTTACTCTAAAGTGTCTACTTTTCTTGTGAAAGCAAATTTTGATTTCTCTATGGTAAATCTCTGTTGTTTATTTTCCGTAGCCATTGCCGAAGTACTCTTCATTTGAAGATGAACGGGAGAAAGCACGTGTCATGTTTCTAAAATATACATGAGGTTCTCGGGGTCGTTTCATAATTATTTTACAAAGCTGGATCTACAAGATTAACAGTTTAGTTGCAATGCATGATGGAAAACTTTAAAAAATGAAAAATAAGCAACAAGAACACGAGTCACATGGAGTAGATCTAGAAATTGCACTTACTTTTAAGCTGAATAGAATCCCTATGAACTTTATAAACGTCAGGACAAATTCGCATTCTGAAGATTCCTTCATTGCCAGTTTCTATCCAGTTCCGTAGATCCCCCTTTTTTACTTCAAAAATCCTGAATGACATGACTTCTAACGTTACACTTTTGATGATTCAGATTTTTAAAACTGATAATCCGTCTCATTATTAAAACATTGTTCTATTTGTGGAGTTATTTGGGTTAGCAAATGAAATATGTAAATGAAACACATCATAATTCAGCATGTTCCAAATCCATAATTCAAGAACGGCCCATCAATTTTAGTTGTCAACATCACAATGCTTATGGATTCCTGACGAAAAAAACTTTATTACGTCAACAACAATTTACGAAATATATGACGTAACAAAAATGCCTCGCGCTTTTCATGGATGATTCCAGTTGCGGCATTAACAGAGGGCGGTTAGGCATATGTAACCTCAAACAGATAATTTTAAGCGTTGAGATAAATTTGTCTTGATGGCATTTAAAATAATTTTTGTATACAGTACCCTGATTTTACAACTTAATTGTAAAAAATACACCTTCAATTCATATATTAATAATATAAAACTTTTGATAGTTTAACATTTAAAAATAATTTTAAACACTCTTAATGACATGAATCTACAACAGTACAATACTTCTTCCATTAATTACGTATAACATTCGTTTTGATTTTATGTTTTTAAACTATTTTATATATTTCTCAGAAATAAATTTCCCTACATATTATCTCGTTATTCAAACTTCTGTAAATCCTATTCTTTTAGCTACAAAATATACAATACGCGGTAATTTTTCTCCCGCGAAAAATATGCTAGATCTATTGTTTTTTCACTTAATATTTTCAAATTTTAGGAAGGCTAAAGTTATTGAGAACGTCCCTCGGTGTTTCTCTTTGACTCGATCTGCCCTTCATATTAACAAAATAATTATATGTACGTAACACTTTGAGTCTACAAAAAACACTTATTGTCGCTTATTGAACACTCCAATTCAAACTTACTCTGAATAATATCAAATCACTGCCGGTATTTCTGGACATTTTGTTAAATTGTGAGACGGAATTTACGAGCTTAAAGTGTATAGGCCTACGTTTGATTGCTTAAACTAGAAAGCATGATATTATATTCTTATAATTCACATTTTCCTCGAACGCGAGTCTGTGTTCTCTCGTTAGCGAGGGGGTTAGTTAAAGTAGACACTGTGGTAACAAACAAACCAATGCTGAACGTATAGTGGATCAGTTTTCCTTTCTTTATATTTTTTGTCAGATTTGCTTGAGAATGAAGTATTTGTTGGCGATTTCTTGTGAAAGTTGAAATCTACGGAAAGTTTTAGCGCACGAACATCGCACCCGAAATGAGGTTGTGTAACATAATTTTGTAGCCCATCGAATCTGGTCAATTTATTTATTTTTGAATAGACGTGATACACACTTATGGACAGAATTCAGACAACTACAGAATTATGTAAATTAAACATTAATTAGCGAAGGACCATTTTTTATAGTCTTCTAGCTAGTGTTCCCGCTCCCCTACGACGCGTTGCGGTATTCAAGATACGCGCTTGATTGAAAAGTTATCTAATCAAATCACTTCAGTGTTCTTTTTCTCTTAAAAAATATAAAATACGACAGTATATCATGGTTATTAATTAAATCTTTTTGTGTTACATTTTATAAAGCTTACTGATATTTTCACTTCAAATGATTATGATTATTTTAAATAATGGTTTGCTAGTAAAATTGCCTTTTTGACACCAACTTTGTTGTCATTTTTCATTTTAATGATAACATTTAGCTATAGATCAGTAAGTAAATAAGAATATTTTTTTTATAATTACCGAGTACATTTCACGCTAATTGTGAGACGAACCCTAAATGACGTCTATATAGGCGCCGCCATTTTGAAATGGACGTCACGTCAGTTTACAACGTAAGTCAACGGGAAAAAATATAATTTTAACATTTTGACCATATTACTGACTTTATGAAAAAAATGAAAAACATGCCTAGAGATATTGACGTCAGGGTTAACATGACATTAATTTAAATGATTTTACTATTATATTAAATAAAAAATGGAATGTTCAAATTTGATGGGACAGACTATAGTACGTTTATCATATGTTTACGTTTATTATATGTTTACGACATCATTTAGGCAATGGCTATGTATTCTAATGAAGCTGATTATGACGTTAAAAAGTTGTGTAAAGAATATAAGATTTATAAAATGTTCATCATCTTGATGCACTATATTAACAAATATTTCAGCCAAAATATTAAAGAGTGTGCGCCAAACATTGTTACTAATTATGAACTGTTGTTATTTGTTTAAATGGTTTAATGGTTTAATGGTTTTTATAACAAAGTTTTATCAACGTTTTCAAAATTCGTTATTCTCAAAATGTTTCTACACACGGTATATATAACGACAGATTTTTCAATCCACTGGAACAGCCTTTAAAGAATGTTACTATTGGAAACTCTATTGCGAAAACAAATTTAACCACCAAATATAAATCCAACTTTATAATAATAATTACATTTTTTCATGACGTGTTAGAATGGAAATGCTTTGTAATTAATCGCTCAGGCCTATCGGCCTTCATGATTATATTATATTACGCATTTGAACTCAAACCGTGCATTATTCTACAACAATGCACTCAAAATTGTTATCTATTTCCTAATTAGTGTTATTATAATTCACTCGTTTGCTGACTATCCTCCCTCCTCCATATCTAGGGCATAATTAAAAAACTGGTGTTGCATGTAAGAAAGAATACCCTGTCTGTAACCGACCCTGTTTTGATTACATTTGCTAAAAAGAAAGGATTAAATTGCTTACTTTTACTTTCTTTGAATAATATATCAAACAAAATGATGTGTTATGACCAAGATGTTTACGGTTTTAGCTGCACCCGCTAATTTGTAGTAACTAGTCAACGGTTGTTTATAAATACAATATAAAATAAAATAGCTGGAGAGGCTAAAGATACATTACCTATTAAGACATGTCTACTTACATTTTTTTCAATAGTTAAAATTAATTGGAGACGATCTACACAATTCTGTAAAAAGTCCGTCTGATCAATTAAGCATGTGCATGTATAAAGTAAAAATGATTGATAGTGCCAAAATAGCCATTATTTTGTTAAACTTAACTTCAATAACATAGTTCACGTCTCTTTCTAAAGCAAGGCTCATCCCATGTGTTAATAAACATTTAATTCTGATACATACCCAGCAGGCACTCGACGTTGTTTCAACGTTGAAACAACGTTGAAATATGGTCGTGACGTTGTTCAACCAATATTCAACTGTGGACGACCATACGGATATATTGCCAATGTATATACAACGTTGATTCAACGTTGTTTATGGTCGAAGTTTTACATTTAGTTTAATCATTATAAAAACTTTTATACCACTAATTTTGTGTAATTATTCCTTTATTGAATTAGTCTGTAAGTGATTTTTGTCAGGAAAATTTGCGTAACAATCTTTTTCCGTATATTCAAAAGTAGCGCTTAAACAAATAAAGTTTGAAATAATTTTTCACTTTCTAATAACGCTTTAAATATTAGTTAATATGTTTTGTTGTTTGTTGTTTTATTTTTTAGTTCTTTATGAATAATATTAATTAATAAATTGATATTAGTCAAAACCCCGCTTATAAAATAACGCTGGTCAGGGGAAGTAATTGTTGAATGTCTATGATTATCGTTCGTGCAAATGGTGGCGCTGTTTGGAAAATTTGAAAACAACACGATTGGCAATTTATTTGGATTTGAAGGTATTACCGTAATGTTTTACTTTAGTTTACTAATTATTTTCTAAAATATTATTATTTATTCTTAAAATTCTACTTTAATTTACTTTATGAAATAAATGAGAGATGAAAACACATGATTGAGTTGATTTGACACGTTTTCGCGACCTAATTGAATGATTTGGGTTCGGTAGGCTTTGTAAGCATGAAGTTATTGATGTCCTTGGCAATTTATGATTCTACAAATCTTGTCTTTCTTTAATTTATTTTTCATATTATTAAACATTTGTCTGTACTATATCCTAATTAGAATTTAATCAATTATAAAATTGAAACCTATAAAGTAGTTCGGCCCACATAATTTACGTCCCAAGACGATTCGTCAATATATATAACTATGTTTATATTTTAGTGATAGTATAATACAGTGTTAATTAGTTTGAAAAAAATACATTATTATTAAGTTAAATAACAAATTTGAGTGTTAAACTTTAAAGTTCAATAGTCGTAAATTTATGGGGAATAATAAATCTATTTCTATTTTATTATATATTATTTTATATTCTAGATCCTGGTCCTGGCTGAAATTTAGAGTATTGCAGCTGTAGCCTGTATACCATACATTCAACATGAAAAGGACTGTCAGGTTTGTTAAATTGAAATTTATTCTTATTAATTTATATATTTGAATTTCTTTACAATACAAAGTATAATTTTTCAACTACTGGATATTTATCTTGTCTTAAAATATATTATTTTCGGAATATTCCTGTAACATTATTAATATAAAATTTACATGTTTGTTGATTTCAGGATGCTGCATAAAATGGTCTTAGCTAGAGCCTAGAATGTTAATTTCTTGGGAATATGCTGCAAGGAACTGACGGGGAGCAGTTTTTCTTACCAATCATAGGTGAGACTTTTAAATAGCTTCTTTTTAAAAAGATTTTGTTGTCTTATATACAGTATTTGCTGTCAATATGAAACTTAGCTATGTTTCAATTTCTATGCTGTTTTATGATGTAAATCTTAGAGAAAGAAAAGCATTTTAAGATAAAAACAAATCACTAAGTTGAGTAATTATATGTATTATAGTAACTTTTAACTACAAACTTCTTATTTTTATTTGCAGAGGCAGTAAGAAACAGCCAAAGAAGTACTCAAACACTTGATATACCCAGAAATATCTAGAAGAAAAGATTGGAACAGATTGAAGCTTAATTGTTAAAACTATTAAAGTGAATTTAAACTGCACTTGAACTGTATTTTTGAAATAAAATATCTGAAGTATTTAATATTGTCTTGATATTTTGTTAAACTTGGTAACTTTGCTTTATATCCAAAAGTTAAGTATGGTGGGTTTTCAACGTTGAAATGACATTGAAACTTCAACGTTGTGCCAGCGTTGAAGCTGCAACGTTGTATCAACGTTGAAATTTCAACGTTGTTTCAACTTTCAAATCCGAATATAAATCCAACCTTATTTCAACGTTGAAATCTGACCATAATTCAACGTTGAAACAACGTTGATGTGCCTGCTGGGTAGATCTTTGTCAATCTCTCAGTCTCGTAACATTAGATATAGATCGCGAGCATTCAAAATGATTCAGATAGATATTCAAATGCCATTGGATGCTTATACCGCTAGCGACTGATATCCAACACCTATCCTATCTAACATCGAGCTTAAGTAAAACACTGACGTCTCAACGACGTCTGGGATTTAATGTTGGATAGACGTTGGATATGATCGTCAACGATGCATCCATAATTCAACTGACATCCAACGTCACTTGTTTACTGAGAAAGAAAGGAGCATTGAAATCATTTATTGAATCTCTCTTATCAGCGCATTGAAATGAAAAATATATTACATGCATGTAAAGATACATGATAAAAACATGTATAGTGAAAAGAGATCTTAATTGTGTTATGTTATCAAAAACCATTTTGAAACCCCAAATGAAACATTTGCAATTTTTAGAAATCAACTGTAAATATACTCATAACGCTTAAAAAACATTTACATGTTTCTGTTTTGCATAACTATAAAAATATTGGCCTTACAAATCAAAATCGCCTGATGCACGAATATTTCTCTCAATAACAACTAAAACAGAAAGATAAACACGAGTTAAGTTTTAATCAATTTTTCAACCGACAACATACTGAAGCATTGGTGATGGTTATCTATAAGAACTCCACTGAGGTCCAAAAGCCCAACAATATTTAGTTGGAATTTCCAACAAAGATCAACTGCGGCATTTAAAAACGGAAAATTTGCAAAGGATGTTTAAAAGAATGTACCATGAATAAACTGAAATAAATCGTAATGTTGTGCTATTTCATCTCGATTTGAGTGAAAAGCGTTTTTACACAATAAGAATAATCATTCTGGAAATACAGAGTGAGCAAATGATCTGAAATTGTGCTCATAATTGATGGTCTAGACCTACATCAAATGGAACATTAACCTCAAAAAATATTTCCAATCCCGCCATGTCAAAAAAAACTCCTTTGAGTACCTTTAAGATGATAACGTCAATCTTGTCGCACAAGAGAATTAGATTACCACAATCTTCGTACAAAGATTCAGCACACTTGGGATAAATTTTGTTCGTCTTCAAATTTCCAGGTCTTACATAATAAACGTGTACAACGTGTTGCAAACACACAAATGACCTAAACTGTAGCAATTTTATCACCAAAATCCATCAACAAAGTTTGCTTTTTATCCTTTCAACGTTTATTCAATAAACCAGTCTCGAAAGTAACTGTTTTTCTTTGAAAATTTAACACATCACTTTGGAGGCAATGGAATAAGCTATAAAAGGTACTAAGCATAAAGAACATAAAGTGATGAAGAAAAAAAAACTGTCAAAATTAAACTAAGCACTATGCATAATTTATTTTTCGTTTGAGATACATACCTGCTCTTCCGTTCAAACCATGGAAACGATGTTTTCTAAAAATAATAAATGTTATATAACATATGACAATTGAAAATTTAAATGCAACAACATTTTATCCGATAAAAACTTTTTTATCTGATAACATTTCATTTACGTTATTTCTTCTTAAAGTAAAATATCTTCTCGCTAAACATTAACATTATTTTCATCTCCTATTAATTTAAGTTTATTGAGGAGAAAGGAGCTCCTGATGTGACACCTGCATTTTGAGTCAACTGTATTTCTGTTTCGTTTGTACGCATTAACATTACGTTAAGGCGAATGGTTATTTCGTTTAAACGAAACGACATTCCGTTAACGAACGACGAAAGTTCACTCCGTCTTTACGACATCTTTTGACCAATTATTATTTCATATGGCTGAAATAAATTTCTTGCCTTCTAAACAAGATAAAAATCCTTTTAGATGAGAACGAAATTAAGTTTAACAAACTATAAACATACCGAAAAGGTCCTTGTTATTTTCTTTCGTCCGCCAACTTCAGCCTGTAATTCAACATGCAATTTAAAGCAATCGTTAAAGTGTACAATGAAAACAATACATAAACTGCGGGAAGATTGTTTTATACGTCTCAAGTTTTTGAGCTCACGGGTAAAATTAAAATTTTTAAGATTTAAGAAGGGTTTTAACATTGGCTGCTTATTCCTTGACATGAAAGTTTGATGAAATAGAATGAGTAATTTATGCAAAATGCAATTATAAGAATTTAACAGAAATGGTTACAAAACATCTTTAATGTATATTTGTAATTTTTGAATAATTTGATAAAGTCATTGTGCATTTTGAGTATGAGACTGTGCATCTTGAATTCAATCTTCACTGAGGATATTTGACATGACGGAACTGATAATAATTTTTCGAGATTATTGTTCCATTTGATGAAGATTAAACTGTGAAAATTGATCAAAAATGGAAAAGAGTTTCACTCAAATCGGGCTAAACTAGCACAAAAATACAATTTTTATTTATTCTGATATCTAAAATATCTTTTGCATATCTCTCTGTTTTAAGTGCCTCAGTTGATCTATATAACAAATTCATTTTTATGTTTTAGGTTTGTATCATTTTGTAATGTTTTTTTAATATATCCAAAGACATTTGTAAAAAGGTAGTCGGGTATGGGTGTGTGTACTACTCTTATAATTTTACATGTACATTACAGCAATATACTAGGCATAAATTCTAACCATTAAACAGTTAAACTAGTCAAAAAGTCTATTTTATCAATACTCAATAGTAAAATGAAATAAATTGCCCTTAAAATTTTAAAAGAAATAACTTTAGAAAACTCATAACGTGGTTTATCCTATTTGAATTTTAAGTGGATCAACCTTATCTAATTAAACAATAATAAAAAAAATTAGTTTAATTTAAATATAAAATTTATGCAAATAATAATGAATCAGTGTCATTTTATATCTAAATAGAAACGTTTAATCGGTATAACAAATGAACTGTGAATTAAGAAAAAAAAACTTACCATTTTTCATAATGTTCTCTCTTATACATTAAAACAAGATAAATACAAGTAAAGTTTATTGAATGATAACGAGTGTATAGAATGATAACGTATCGTAGCCCTTCATACCGAAACATGCGATAACGTATTCATCATGTATGTATATTGCACATCATTCATAATCCAGTAATAATGTTATAATATAACATATTATGTTAAAATGTGAGAACCAAAAGTAGATAGGTACAACAAGCGTAAAAATTGCTGCGAATGGTCAGCTGTGCAATGCATACCTTGAAAAGAGCCGAATAAAATACTATCTTTACGAATATCTGTTTAGTTCTGCGCAGTTGTGGAAATTAAAATTTAAGGCGGAGCGTTACCATATGGAAATGCTATTACTTTATACTATTTCTCGTTTTATACTGTGTCAGGACGAGTACGCCTAGGTCAATACCATAGGGAAAGCTAACAAATAATTGGGCGAGGAATCTGACACAACCTGCCTTTATACATACACAGCGTTGACACGCTGTTAATGGTTTCTCGCAATTCCTTGACATTTATTAATCATATTACGATTAAAACTTTAAATAATCAAAGTATCAACAATAAAGCCTTCAATTTGATCAAAAACATTGTTGATAAGGCATTAAAGACATCAGACACGTTAATTACCAAAACCTAACCAAACTAAAATCAAAGCACAGAAGGCGCTTAATTTGTTTGGGTCTCAGAATGTAAGAAAGGTGCAAGTTGTGAGATTATGAACCAATTAGTTTTTGTATAGTGCCATCAATGCTTTTCAGCGTTTTAATTGTAGTAAATTGGCTATAAGACTAATTGTAACACTGATATTCAATCCAATGTTTATTTGACTTAAACAATTTGAAGAAAAAAATGAGGTTCCTTATCTGGGACTTGAACTCCAGACCTAACGGCCCGAAGAAAACCATATTATTCTAAATTAGGGTTTGTAACGACGCTACACAGATGTAAATAATCATGAAGCTTACTATAAGCATGTATATCTATAAAGATAAAACAATCTTCGACCATTCGGGAATTATTTTGCTTGAAAATTAATGCCCTTGTCATTTGACCATCTTTACGCAGTGATCTCCCCTGAATATTTCGGCGTAAGTGTACATATAAAAGGAAGTAACCGCTTCAAAAAAGCGGACTACTTTCGGCATTTGCAATTAACAGCATTAGAGTCTGAAATTTCACTACCATTATTTGTTTGGTCTAACGACCCAAACAAATAAAAACGGAATCGTGTGACCTCGCTTTACCAGATGAAAGGCTGCTATTAAAGTTACGGAACCCAGAACTATGTCCACAGAGCACTACGTTAATCATCTCAAAAGAAAAAATTGAAATGGAAATTATTGATATATTATCATTCCTTGTAATCAATAAGTAAGCAGGCCCAGAAGTAAGTCATTGAATGCTAAAAGAAGGTTAAACCTCTATTTGTAAGAATCTTTGTATTCTTTTCACCGTTCACTGTCTGAAGGTATATTTATTCGGCCTCCTGGAAATAAGATGTTGTCATGTCGGTTTTTAAAAGGGTAATTAAAACTATACATTAGAACTACTGGAAAAATGATGGAGAGAGTAATGTTTAAACACATTTATTTATAACCATTTACACGTAAAAACTAATTCATTTACGAAAAACAGTCTGGATGTTTGCCAGGACATTCGACTGTGTACCAATTACTTGACATCTACCACCAAATTTTTTGATTATAAAATCCCATCATGTATGCTTTTTATGATATTCCAAAGGCGTTCGATATAGTATGGCCTGAAGGTCTTTTATTTAAATAATCACATAAACATAGAACGGAATTAATATGGATAAATCATTAATAAAAATCTTTGTTGGTTCCTCCTATTCTGCAGGGGTCCCCTAAGGCTCTGTCCTTGGCCCCTTGTTATTTCTATTTTATGTCAATAACATTGCTGATAATCAAATCAGTGTGACACGACGTTTTGCAGATGCTAGCTCTTTCGCAGTTTCCAGTTCTGATATTGCTTTTATGGAACGCACCCTTAATGAAGACTTAACATAAGTTAATTATTGACACTTGGGTCTGACGCTAGACCAACTCTTTACCTTGATAAAATTTCTCTTGATTATGTTGACAGGAATAACCACTTAGGTGCCACTTTCAGTACATATGGTAAATAGCATGACCACATCAACAATATACTATTGTCTGCTTCTAAAGTTCTAGGATCCATGAGACCATTTAAATACGGAATTAAACGAATGACTTTTAATCAAATTCATATTTCCTACATGAGACCAATCTTATAATATGCGTCAATTGTCTGGGATGGATGCTCGGATTACGAGAAACATTCTCTTGAGAAACTTCAATACGAAGAGGCATGTATCGTCACTGGCCTAACAAGGTCTGTTTCTATTGAGCGCCTGCTTAATGAAATTTGTTGGGATTTATTGTCTGACGGACAATTTATTCAAAGACTCGGCTAAGTAGGGCACCTTACTGGATTATTTGTTAAAACATTTTTCCAGATACCGTTTATTACAATGTGCCTATGTCTTAAGGAACAGGGACAACTATACAACTGTACTACGTCGTACTTAAATTTTTGCAAACTCATTTCATTTCAGCAACATCATTATGAAATAACTTGGATACTGACATAAGTAATCCATAGCCGAATTAATAAAAGTATACTTATTAAAACCGAGACTATGACAGCTTTTAGGGGGTATTTCCTTCTTAAAGTTGACCGGAAAATGAGAAAAAAGTGCACATGGTGATACAAGCATAAAACTTTCAGGAAAGCACCTTTAGGCCATGAAGATTTCAAAAATAAAGTAGGCCCGAAAACATCTCTGCTCATTCAAGGAGGCCGCCATTTTCAAAATGACGGTCAAATATAAATTTGACATACTGTATAAGTGGATATTCATGCGTCACAAAAAATGTGCGAATCTCAAAAAGTGGAACTTTCGCGTCCTGATTGTTTGCGAAATTATGTTTTCTTGAATTTATAACTGTTTTGTGATATCATTAATTAAGCAGGTTCATGTTAAGATTATGCCGTTATTGTAATCGTTCAATTCATTTGTTTAATACCATTATTATTTATATAATTGTTGGAAATTTACATTGTTAGTTTGATAAAGGCCCTGATGACACATTTTTTTGTCATATTTTGAAACAGTCTTTTGTGATATAGATAGAATTTTTGTTTAAAAAAATATCAAGAAAAAATCCCATTTTTTGTATCTTTTCCTAATTTGGTTTTCTTAATCTATGCACATAATTAAAAAGGATACCTTTTCTTATATCATATTATATATTCTATAAACACTATGTGTTTATTGCAAAAATTGTAAAAGCACCCCAAAATTTTTTGTCAAAGTGGGTGGGTTAAATTGATCTGATAAATGTAAGAGAAAAACAACACAATTTACATAGGGTGTTTATTCTATTTCTTCGCTTTTTATTTATTTTTCTATGAATTCTTATGCAAACGTTCCATATTAAAATCATTATTTATTGCATGAAGGTATTTTTGTCTTCCTGTGGGTCAAGTGGGTGAGCAAAATATCAACAAGCATTTGATAGTATTGCGGGCAATACAGTAGTCCCCTACCGGTCCCTCAAAAAGTTCTTTAATTGTCATACACTCCTGTGTATTGCCATTTATAATGAATTTGAGGATGAAGTCTGTATTTGAAAATATCAACCACAAAACATAATAAAATAAGTTTGTCTATATCACAGTAATGTGTTAAGTTTCCATGCTTAGTAAGGAAATTATGTTTATACAACCTTGTCATATTATTACGATGTGGGATTTTAAAGTAAATCCTATAAGGAATGAAGAAGTTGGAGTGAAAATACCAGTTTCTCGAAAAAAATCTAAGTTCAAGGGGGACATCATTCTGGAAATAGTCTTGCTAGAGTATTTAACCTTCTCAAAAATGTCGAGTGATAATAAGAAACATATATTTGAAGTTTGAAGTAGATACATTAGGAAATAAAGAAGTTATTTAAAAAAGACAACATTTTTTCCCCTAAAAAATCTAAGTTCAAGGGAGGTAATACTGATATTTTTTGTGCTAGAGTTATAAACCTTGTCACATATGATGTGGTTGATGACCAGAAACTTATATTTAAAGTTTGAAGTAAACACCTTAAGAAATAAAGAACATAAAGTGAAAAAGCTGAAAATTTAAATCAGAAATCTTGAAATTCAGGCTATTTGTTGCCATAGCAACCAGAATTTTCAACATAGGAAGAAAAGAAAAATATGTGCATAATCTCCAGACTGCCATCTACCCATATTTCAAGTTTCATAAAAATATTTTCAGTACTTTTTGAGTTATCACTGGATCCAGTTTATGTGTTAAATTTGCCATATTTTCAGACTATTTGTTGCCATAGCAACCAGAATTTTCAACATAGGAAGAAAAAAAAAAGACGTGCATATTCTCCATACTGCCATCTATCCATATATCAAGTTTCATAAAAATATTTTCAGTACTTTTTGCGTTATCGCGGGATCCAGTTTTGTGGACGGACGGACTGACGGACTGACAGACTGACAGACAGACAGACGGACAGACGGACAGACAGACGGACAGACGGACGGAGGGTAAACCTAAAGTCCCCTCCGGTTAAACCGGTAGGGGACTAATAAATACATATAAAATCATGTCATTAAATCATTAAATTCAGTCATTAAATTTGGTTTCGTGACATCACTTATTTTATGATCTTTGATATTATTTAATAATTGTTAATTTCAAAGATATATCAAAGAAGACAATAAATCAGCAAACCATGCTTTAAATAGCACACGGATGTAAGGTAAAGAGGTAATCCATTTAAACATATTATTACTCTTCGCAATTTCATTTTAAAAATATAAAAAATGGCTTTAAAGCTCTTACAATGTGTTTTTTTATTCGATATCTAAATATATACTTCTCAAAGTTTGCTAGGCACCAAGATTATTTTTGTACCTATCTTATGTTGTATATCAAATATTACATTTATTTATGTTCTTTTATATGACATAGTGATTTATA